GGGTTTTTTTTTTTTTTTTTTTGCATCTTGCAACACTTCTTACGTTTTTATTGCTAAGTAGTATTTTTTTTGAAGATTTTATTTATTTATTTGGGGGAGAGAGAGTGTGAACATGGGGTCGGGGGTGGAGGGCAGAGGGAGAAGGACAAGCAGGTCCTTGATGCAGAGCTCCATCCCAGGACCCTGAGATCATGACCTGAGCCAAAGGCAGATGCCCAACAGACTGAGCCACCCAGGCGCCCCTATTGCTAAGTAGTAGTGTATTTTATCAATAAATTGCAATTTGTTTATCCATTTTCTTAGTGGTGAACTAGTGGGTTTTCAGCTTTGGAGTATCATGAAGAAGGCTGCTATGAACATTCTTGCATAAGGTTTCTGTCTGTATATGTTTTTATTTTTCCTTGGATAAATAACTAGATGTGAAATTCTTGCGTCAAAGGCTAGTATATGGGTATCTGTTTAACACTTTTACATTTCTTCCAACAATTTATGTGAGTTTCTCAGTTGATTCATATCCTTTCCAATGTTTGGTGTTGATAGTCTTCTTAATCTTAACCATTATTGTGGGTATGAAGTGGTCTGTCATAGTGGTTTTAACTTTTTTTTTAAGATTTTATTTTCAAGTAATCTCTATACCCAATGTTGGGGCTCAAACTTAGAGCCCTGAAATCAAGAGTTACATGCTCTATCAACTGAGTCAGCCAGCAGTGCCTTGGTTTTAATCTTTATTATCCTAATTTCAAATGATGTTAAACATCTTTTCCTGTGTATATTAACCATTCACATATCTTCCTTCATGAAGTGTCCATTCATATCTTTTGCCCCTTTTTTTAAAATTTTTTTTAAGGTTTTATTTATTTATTTGACAGAGAGAGACACAGCGAGAGAGGGAACACAAGCAGGGGGAGTGGGAGAGGGAGAAGCAGGCTTCCCGCAGAGCATGGAGGCTCGATCCCAGGACCCTGGGATCATGACCCGAGCTGAAGGCAGATGCTTAACGACTGAGCCACCCAGGTGCCCTGCCCTTTTTTTTTTTTTTTTGTATTGGATTGTTTGCTTTGTATTTGTTGAGTTGTAGGAGTTCTTTATATATTCTAGGTACAAGGCTTTGTCAGACACATCTTTTACAGTGGCATACATATTTACTTTCTTAGTCATATCTTTTGATGAGTGGAAGCTTTTAATTTTTATGTAGTATAATTTGTTACTTTTTCTGTTAAAACTTGTAGTTGTAGCTTATACATTTAGGTCTATTATCCACTTGGAATTAATATTTTCATGGTGTGAAGTATGGATCAAGGTTCATTTGTTCATTTTCCATATGGATATCCAGTTTTTCCAGCACTGTTTGTTGAAGACTTTTCTTTTCCCCATTGATTGCTTTGTTACCTTTGTTGACAATCGAATGACTGGAAAAAGATCTATTTCTAGGCTTTCTAGTTTTGTTCCATTGGTCTTTGTGGAATTGTGTATATTAATACACTTTGAAAAACTACATAAAGTGTTTATTAGATATTGGCATACATAGGAAAAATCTTTCCCATACATGTTTTGCCAGCATTGGAGATTTTTCTTATGATCAGCTTATAGCCAATGACATCTGGAGGCTTTTCAGCATGGTTCTCTACACACTCTGTGATACTTTGTGTGTGTGTGTCATGTGAGATTGATGTTTACTTTTAATTCTTTTACATTTATTTGTAACTGAGAAAGCTCTTGTTTTACTGCAGAATTTTGAGACTAGTAATAACAAAAAATTCAGACACCTTTTTTCTTAAGGTAACATAGTTATATATGTTATAAAGATCTGAACAGAACTTCATCACACTGTCCACCAAGAGATGCCTTGGGTCCTTGCAGTGGGAAGGGGAAGAGGAAGAGAAGATGTAGCCACATAGAAAATGTAGTCTAGAACCTTGCCCGTCATATCATTATCTCTGGACTATGTATCAGTCATATTCAAATATTTATTAGTACTGTGCTGAAGGATACAGGAATTTTACCCTCGGGGAATTTGCCAGTGTAGCTGAAGAATTAAAAAAATTGAAGTAAACATAATACAAAGTAATATGTGATTAATGTTTGCTTTAAGATCATTGAGAGAATTTAAAATATCTTTATTATAATTGTGTTGTGGACCTCAATCATTATTCTGAATTACAGTAAATCTAAAAGTAAGAAAAAGATAGTTGCAATTTACCGACAGAGGGGAGAAAGTAAGGAATTATAAACTGGAGAGAGTGGATCTCAAATATAAATCTGTGTTGTTGGATTTGATTAAGCATCATTTATAAATTAAAATATGTTTACTCTAGGTGAACTACAGTTATATGTTTATGGAATAAACATGTAGTTACATGTGAATAGATTTTTATGCAGAATTCATCAGAAGTTGAAGTGTAGAGGCTGAACTCTAGGAAATAAATTAAGGGTTGCTGGAGGGGAGGTGGATGGGGGGAAGAGATAATTGGGTGATGGGCATTAAATTAAGGAGGGCATTGTAATGAACATTGGGTGTTATATGCAATCAATGAATCATTAATTCTACCTCTGAAACTAATTTAAAAAAATATAACTGGAAAAAAAAGGAAGTTGAATTATAAAGAAGTTCTAATAAAAGAGGCATTTAATCTTCCTATTTATTGTATTTCATCAGTTTTAAGATGGACCCCTATCCCCATACATCTTTTAGCATGTTTTAAATTAAGGTTGTGATCCTTAGTCAGTTTGGCCAGTGGGGCAGTCTGCAGTCATTGTATGAACATGTATAAACATCAAAGTGTCGTCATATGCCTATAGAGTAAAATCCGTGCTTCTTAAAAAAAAAAAAAAAAAGTCTAGAAAACACTTTTTTTTTAATATATTTAATTTATTAATTTGAGAGTAAGCGAGAGAGAGAGAGCACGAGTGGGGTAGAGGGGCAGGTGGGGAGAGAGAGAAGCAGACTCCCCACTGAGCAGACAGCCCGACGTGGGGCTCAATCCCAGGATCCTGGGATCATGACCTGAGCCGAAGGCAGACGCTTAACTGACTGAGCCACCCAGGCGCCCCTAGAAAACACTAAAATACTACTTTAACATTGCATTAATGGTTGTGGGGAGGAGATGGGAAAGATAGGCTGGACCTACTTAATTGCAAAGCCTGCTTAACACGGGGCTCTTCAGTTGTTTTATGGATTCTTTTAAGAACTACCAATCTCAGGGCGCCTGGGTGGCTCAGTCGTTATGCGTCTGCCTTCGGCTCAGGTCATGATCCCAGGGTCCTGGGATCGAGCCCTCCATCGGGCTCCCTGCTCGGCGGGAAGCCTGCTTCTCCCTCTCCCACTCCCCTTGCTTGTGTTCCCTCTCTCGCTGTCTCTCTCTGTCAAATAAATAAATAAAATCTTTACAAAAAAAAAAAGAAAACCTTAAAAAAGAAAAAAAACTACCAATCTCAAGGGCACAGGTGATTTTTTTGTAAGGAAATACTGAAGGCTTGGAGACAAAATGACCCAAATTTGGTCTGTGACTTTTTATAAAAACACAAAAGTGATATGAGAAAATCAGTGTTTAAACCCAAAACAGTTCTTACAATCAGTATGAAATATAAATTCCAAATTGTAAAAAAGCATTGATGGAATTTGATAGTAATCTTTGTAGGGGGGTTTTAGCCTTCCTTTGACATTTAATATTCTGTGTTATTTATTATGCTCTTTTATTATTTTCATGTAAAGTGGTATAGTCAGTAATGGGTTAGTCTATTTCCACTCAGCTAGCTCTGACTTTGGACAGCTGTTTAACTTCTCTGAGCATTGGTTTGAAAACTAAAATGAGATTACATTTACCTAGTAGCATTATTAAGTTTATTCTTTTCTACTTAATTCCAGGAGCTCACACATACATTATCTACTTGAATCTCGTAACATTTTAAGTAGGCTGTTTATATATTTTTGGTAAAGTGAAACTTTGATGATAAGGTTCTGATCTTTTCAAACTAGAGAACAGAAAAAGGTATGTTTCAATAATGAATATAAATAACTTTGTTAACTAGTAGGGAGTGAGGAGACAGAGGCAGATCAATGTCTTTCAGAATGCACAAGGTTGAACATTGTACTAGAAGATGTGATATGGCAGTCAGATGCTTGCAGCTCTGTGAAGAATCCCTGCAAGTGCAAGTCGCAAATATAGCTTGATAAGGTTGTTTTGTAGGCAACTCAGTGGCATTGCTATTGATGATGTGACTTTTTTCCCCTAAATAATGAACAATTCTTGATAAAGTTATAAACAAAAATAAAATACAAATTTTCTTGACTTACATAGGAGTTGTAGTTTGAAAATAATTCATTTTGTTCTAAAATAGCAAGGAAAGAAAAGACTTTGTATTTATGTGTCAAATGGGCTTAGCTAAGTTCTAGGTTAATGTAATTACAGTGTTTGTTTGTTTTTTAAAGATTTTTTACTCATTTATTTGAGAGAGAGAGAATGAGAGACAGAGAGCACGAGAGGGAAGAGGGTCAGAGGGAGAAGCAGACCCCCAGCTGAGCAGGGAGCCCAATGCGGGACTCGATCCCGGGACTCCAGGATCATGACCTGAGCCGAAGGCAGTCGCTTAACCAACTGAGCCACCCAGGCGCCCTGTAATTACAGTGTTTTTAACCTATTCAAACATCCAGCTGGAAATTTGGAAGTCTAGACTATTTGTTATGTAGGTCTTTTTGGTGCATTACAGGTTCCCTGCAATCCTGACCTCTTTCCACTAAACGCCAGTAGTCATCTTAATCTTCTTGACAACTAAAAAGCATTCCCTCTGATTTTAACACTGTTCCCAGACTTTAACATGCTTGTTGAAAACTAATGGTTTTAGATATGTGAAAGGTGAGGAAATTAAGTACTAGAGAAAGAAATAATTATGCAACTTATTTGTAATTATTGTAATTATTCAGTGACTAAATTTTATTAAAGTTGATAATTTGAAACTTTAGAAATTAAGATGGCTGTATTGTATGTTCTTATTTTTCTTAGTAAAATGAATGAAAATAAACCTGGTGCCTCACAGAATCTTGGTAAGTAAAATACTTAAAACATTTTCAAATATAATTTAAAATATTAAGATATTTTACTCTTGCTTTTTTATTACAATAAGACTTTTTAGAATGCTGGCTCAAAATATAGGAATCCATGCTTTTGTTCACACATCCATATACGAAAACATAATATTGCATGTATTCATTTCAACAAAAATCTGCTGTAAGAGGACAATTTGCCAAATTTTATCAGGTATGCTTTGTATCTGAATGAAACAGCATTGTTTATTTGATAAACAATTTTTTTCATCTTTTTGTATGACTTTTTCTTATATAAGGAAAAATGCAGGCGAGACCATTTTAAACAATACACAAAACTTAACATGAAAAGGAAAACTTACCTGCAGGTGCTCATAACCATCTCAAATAGATTCAGAGACCTTTGCTTTTAGTTGTTGATTTCTTCATTTATTAGTTTTAACAGTATATATTGATTTGCTACCATGGAAAATGAGAAATTTAAATTGTTATTTTATATTCTTCTGCCACTACTCCCCTCATCTACCCTTTTTAAGATTTATTTTTTGATTCCCTCACAAATTAAAATATACTTAAAACTCTATCTTGACCATCACTGATAGAGAATATCTGTTAACACCACATCGTGTTGGATAAGGAAATTTGCTCTTAATCCTCCCTCTATTTTGCTTTTCTGCTTTTACCTACAGACTTCTATCCACTGTGCTCATTGTTCTGAAACTTAGTAATTCATGGTCTACCTTCATGTATTTGTAGACTGCAAATACTATCTTTACTGTTATTTACTTAGTATTTTTCCTAAGATTGACTCAGTTTTTTTACTTATGTGTGTATGTCATTATTTTTTTAAGATTTTTTATTTATTTGACAGAAAGAGAGAGACAGTGAGAGAGGGAACACAAGCAGGGGGAGTGGGAGAGGGAGAAACAGGCTTCCCACGGAGCAGGGAGCCCTATGTGGGGCTCGATCCCAGGACCCTGGGACCATGACCAGAGCCGAAGGCAGATGCTTAACGACTGAGCCACCCAGGCGCCCCTATGTCATTATTTTAATACATCCAGTATCATTTGCCATAGTTAGAAGGGGATCTTAATATAGTGAAGTCAGAACAATGTTACTGAATTTTAAATATTAAAATTCAAAAACAACAAATACAAACAAAAGCAGGGTACTTCTAAAAACGCATGCCTGAAACCTAGTCTGTTCTGCATCCAGTTTCCATATCTGGATGAAGGGAGGAAGGGAACAAATGGAAAAGCTACTGGTCCACAGCATAACAGCAAATGCATCTCCATCCAGCGCTCATCATGAGTACTTCTGTTCTGTAGTCTCAGCTCATTCCTTGTATTCCTTTTCCTCTTGATAGCTGCATGCACACTTAGAACTAAAAGTATAGGCACTGGGAATGAAGGAATTAAGATGAGAGCTGCTGGTATAAGATGTCCAATAAATAAATGGCAATTTGCTAGAGTTGATGTGGTCAAAACGAAGAGGAGTTGAAATCTTTTGAAAGATTGAGGAAAGGGCTTTCAGTTATGGCTTATCTCATTAACCTGTAGTGAGGGAGGGCAAATATAGGGGAGATATTTTAACAGCATTAAGTATTAGCTCATGATGTTTTTTTCCAGTCCTGGAATCTATTTTGTGAGTAGTCTGTTAACAGATGTACCATTTCAATGCATAACATCCATTCTTGATTACATGTATTAGCTAAATAATTAGTAATAAGACTGTTTCTTTTAAGCTAATAATTAGTAAATAAGATTAGCTGCTGTAATAGGTAAATGCTGAGGTCTTACTGGTTTAACACAACAAAAGTTTATTACTTGGCTTATGTTACAATTCAATGTGGATTGGTTAGGGGAGTTGGAACAAACGGGGAGTTTCTGCTCCATGCAATCCCTTAGAGATTCAAGCTCCTTTCATCTTGTATTCATCTGCTGCCTTGAGATTCTCAGTCTTTTCTCTTTAGCTAGTGTTTTTCTCATTGTTTTATTAGAAATTTTCTGTATAAGTAAACATCGTAAGTTAGAAAAATTGATAATTATACTAATGTCTATTCAGTTATATGTACCTGCCACACCCTTTTAATTATACTTGACTTGACCAAGGTTACAGAGCAAGAGTGTAGTGCCAAGATTTAACTCAGATCTCCCTGACTCTACAGTTTGCCTTTTAAAAACTATTATTGTTATGGTAAAGTACACATAACATAAAATTCACCTTTTTTTTTTTAAGATTTTATTTATTTATTTGAGAGAGACACAGCGAGAGAGGGAACACAAGTAGAGGGAGTGGGAGAGGGAGAAGCAGGCTCCCCACCCAGCAGGGAGCCAGATGCAGGGCTTGATCCCAGGACCCCGGGATAATGACCTGAGCCGAAGGCAGACACTTAACGACTGAGCCACCCAGGCGCCCCAAAATTCACCATTTTAACTATTTTATTATTTTTTTAAAGATTTTATTTATTTGACAGAGAGAGACACAGTGAGAGAGGGAACACAAGCAGGGAGAGTGAGAACCATCACCACTATCTAGTTCCAGAACATTTTCATCATCCCCAAAGGAAACTACCCATTAAGCAGTTACTTTTCATTTCCCTTCTCCTTGGTCCCTGGAAGCCACCAATCTGCTTTTTTGTCTGTCTCTGTGGATTTACCTATTCTGAATAAGGTAATCTATTTTATAAATGGAGTCATATAGTATGTGACCTCTTGTGCTTGGCTTCTTTTACTTAGCATAATGTTTCTAGGCTCATCCATGTTGTAGTAGGTATCAGTACTTCATTTCTTTTTACAGCTGAATAATATTCCATTGTATGGATATAACATATTAATTTATCCATTCATCCATCCATTGATATACACTTGGTTTGTTTTCCCTTTTTGGCTGTTGAGAACAGTGCTGCTATAAATATTAGTATACAAGTATTTGAACATCCATTTTCAGTTCTTTGGCATATATACCCAGGAGTGGAATTGTTGTGTCATACAGTAACTATGTTTAAGTTTTTGAGGAACTGTCAAATTATTTTTCCTAAGTCATTGTACCATTTTACATTTCCACCAGCAGCGTGTGAGGATTCCTATTTTTCCAGATCCTTGCCAACATTTGTTATTTTTTGACATTTTGATTATAGCCATCCTAACAGATGTGAATATCTCATTGTGGTTTTGATTTGCATTTCCCTGATTAATGATATTAAACATCTTTTAATATGCTTATTGGCTATTTATATTTTTTCTTTGGAAAAATGTTTATTCACATCATTTGCTCCATTTTAAAATTGGTTTGTGTTTTGTTGTTGAGTTATAAGAATTTCTTATGCATTTTGGACACTAGACCCTTAACAGATATATGGTTTCTAAATATATTCTCCCATTCTGTAGATTGTCTTTCCACTCTCTTTAGTGTCCTTTGCATAAAAGTTGCAAAAAACTTAGATGAAGTCCAGTTTATTTTTTTTTTTTCATTTTTACTTTTGCCCTTGGTTTCATGTGATCTCTAAGAAACCATTGCCAGTCCAAGGTTATAAAGATTTACCCTTATATTTTCTTCTAAGAGTTTAGTTTTGGTGCTTATGTTTAGGTCTTTGATCTGTTGTGCTTTTTAAAAGATTTATTTATTTATTTGAGAGACTGCGAGCTGGGGGAGGGGCGGGGGGGGCAGAGAATCTTAAGTAGACTCCCCGCTGAGCACAGAGCCTGATATGGGGCATGATCCTAGGACCCCAAGATCATGAGCTGAGCCAAAATCAAGAGTCAGACACTTAACTGACTGAGCCACCAAGGCACCCCATCTTTGATCTCTTTTGATTTAATTTTTGTATATGGTATTGGGTTAGGTTTCATTATCTTGCATGTGGCTATCAAGCTGTCCTAGTAACACTTATTGAAGAGACTGTTTTTCCCTGATGAATGACCTTGGCATTCTTGTTCAAAATTAATTGACCATAGATATATATGTTTATTTCTGGCCTCTTTTCCTCTATTGATCTATATCGCTGTCCTTATGCCACTACAACAGTGTTTTGATTTCTGTAGCTTTTTTCTAAGTGTTGAATTTACTCTTTTTCTCTAGGTCAGTCTGGCTAAAGTTTTGTCGGTTTCGTTGATCTTTTCAGAAAACCAACTTCAGTTTTTATTGATTCTCTTGTTTTTGTTTTCTATTTCATTTATCTGTGCTGTAGTGTTTATTTTTTTCCTTCCTTCTGCTAGCTTTTGGCTTAATATGCTCTTATTTTTCTAGCTCTTTAAGGTTAAAATTGTTACTGATTTGGGGGTCTTTCTTTTTTCATATTGGCTTACATAAAGATCAGCCAGAGGTGAAAGCTTAGGGTTTCTGGGGTCTTTTCTGAGCACGCATCCAGCCTTGAGCATGTGTGTCCTCTAGATTCCCTGTTATCTGTGGGAGCTTTTCAAAGCCCTTATTTACCCATGTATCTCCTTTTCCCAGCTTCTCCTTTTGTAGGTCTTTTGGTCTGGCACCTGCTTGTCCTGTTACCCTTAACTCCAAGCTGCTTCATCTAGTGTATTTGTCTTAAACACTTTTGACAGAGAAAGTTCTGAGGCAGGCAAAACAAGGGCAAGCATCTGAGCCCATCCCTCAGGGATCCACCAGGCAGATCAAAACACACACTCACTTTTCTTTAAGAACAAGGTTCATTTTACCTCCTCTTGGACAATCCAAACCTGGAACATGGGCCATCGAACCTAAGGCCATTCATTGCTCAGCTGGAGAGTGGGGGATGGTAGGCAGGTAAGTTAAAATGCTACAGAGTGCTCATCAGAATTTACCATTCTCTTTCTTTATTGAGCATTCTCCTAATTGTTATAAGTTTTAAAATTAGATTTCAGAATTTCTGAAAAGTTGATTCTGACAGTTTTTGGCAGCTTAATTTGTTGCTTTAGTGGGGAGATAGAGTTTTGGAGTTTCCTAATCCATTATTTTCTGTGATGTTACCCTACAAGTTGCCATTTTAATTATACACTGGAATTCATTATTAAAATTAATTTAAAAATGTAAAGTCTAAAACAATGATGTTTATTGCTTTGGAAATAAGTGTTAAAAATTTTAAGTTACTGATAATATAATGTGATTTGCTCTCAGAAAGAATTGAATACATCACTTGAGAGAAGCTCCAATTCCATAGGTTTTATTTTAAAAATTTAAAAATATTTTTATATCTATTTACTTTTTTCACTGTTAGCTTGTGTTTTTTGTCGAAAAAATGATGACTGTCCTAATAAATATGGAGAAAAGAAAACTAATGAGAAATGGAATCTCACTGTACATTACTATTGTTTGGTGAGTATAATTTATAATTAAATCCTGGAAATTTGATACTCTTCTAAAGAAGACAGATTTTGATGGCTGGTTTCTGAGAATTGGATAAGTCATTTTGCTTCTCTGGATCTCATTTTGCCTGTATGTAAAATAAGGTTTTTCATCTATCAAATTCTAAGATTGTGAAATTATTTGGTATGTATGAGGGAAGACCTGTCATCATTATCTGTTTATTTTTGCCTAACCCTTTAGAGCCTAAATGAAAAAAGGAAAAAATGGTTAGATCTCTAAGGGAGTTATCTTTTTACCACTTTCTTGTTTCCATTGTTGCTAATGATAAATCTCAGAAAAGAGTTGTTTGAAGGTTCAGGGAGGAGAAGGAAAGTATTTTATTTTGCAGACAACCTAGAAAGAAAAGTTCTAAATAAAGGTGGTAAATATTTGTGGACAAGGAAATAGGTGAATTTATGGGTCACTCGGAAGAAAGAAAAAGTGATTTCATATTGAAAATTAGTGTCTCATTTGTTTCCCCTTCCCTCCACCAACTTTTCACCTCACTAAATCTGTGCCTTAAGATCTTAATGGCACCATCACTGCCTTAGCCTGCCAAGGCTGCAGTTAATAGACACAATATTTCTTGATACTGTATGAGTTATGTATTGCCACTTAACAAATTATCCTGAATTTTAGCAGCTTAAACAGCTATTATCTCAAACATTTTCTGAGGGTCAGGAATCTGGTATTGGCTGAACTGGATAGTTCTGGCTCAGGGACTCTCATGAGGTTGCAAGTGAGATGTCAGCCAGCGTTCGGTCATATGAAGGTTAGACTGGGCTGGAGGATCCACCTCTGATGGCTCACTCACATGGCTTTTGGCATTAGTACTTACTACCTGTTGGCAGGAGGCCTCTATTCCTTACTTCCCTGGGTACCTCTGTAGGGTACTTACAGCATGGCATCTGACTTCTTCCAGAGTAAGTGATGAAAGAGGGAGGGAGGGACGGATAGACAAGACACCAAAATGGAACCATATGACCTAGTCTTCACAGTCACATACTACTGTCACTTTTACTTTATTCTGTTTGTTAGAAGTGAGTCATTAAGTCTAGCCCACATTCAAGGGGAAGGGAACTAGGCCCCGTCTCTTAAAGGAAGAAGTAATCAACAAATTTGTAGATCTATTATTATACCCACCCCAGCATCCATGTTAAAACTCTAGATGCTTCCTTGAGAAACCATCTAACATATTTCTTGGTGGTTGTTTAAGACTATAGTTTTGTATCTCAAGTACCCTGTGGGTTAAATAGACTTCTAGACTTGTCTAGGAACCTAATTACTTTGTACCAAGATTTAAGGGAACATTAATTTGGCATTCCAAATTTATTTGTAAGTTGGAAGTCTTATATTTTATATCACCGAAGAAAACCTTTTCATTTTTCTGAGAGTTTATTTTACTTTTTATGCAGTAGAATTAGGAGAATTGGGTTTTTTTTTCATAACCAATTTTAAGTAATGTCTACTTTTTTTGTTGTTTCTCTAGGATATATTATATTGATTAAAATAATCCTCTTCTCTAATCACAAATTTGAAGTAGCTTTGAATTATTTAATATATTTAATTTGATCAAATTTCCTTTGTATTCTGTTTTTCATTAATGAGTGTAATAATTTAAAACATACCCACCCTAGGCTCAACACTTACAAGATTCTATTTCACTGTGAACAGGAAAATGCTGTAATGTTATAAATGGTAATGGAATGTTAGAGCTTAAAGAGACTTGAGACAATCTAGTACAGTTTTTTATTTTTGTGTTTAAGGTGAGGGACGTTAAATTACTTGCCTAGAATTCCAGAAAGTTGGACACAGAGCCTGGTTTGCAAGCCAGGATTTCTTATTCACAGTTCCATCCATTTTTTTGATTCATATTTCCTTAACATATTTAAACTGAAGTTAAAAGATATTTAAAAATTCAAACATTTATGTTAACCATGATTCAATAGGTTTCCGTAAATACACCTTTTATGATTCAGAATCCAGCTACATTTAAAGTTAGCCTGAAATATCACTGATAAACTGAATTATTGCCATAGTGTTTACTATTATTACATTTATACCTTTCGGTATTTACCGCCTTTTTTTCTAAAGCTTCATTCATTCATTACAGATGTTTTCTGCCTTGCATTCTTCCTTTTTCTGTTATTTCCTGGAATACTTTTAGAAACCACTTTGGTTATATGAACTGTTAATGTTCAGTGTCTTCCAAATCAAGGAATGTGAGTAGCCTCTTAGTTTGACCATGAAAATAACTATTATAGATAAGAGGTGCTTGAAATTCAAGTTATGTCCATTTTTTATTGGAACATTATATATATTATATGTGTGTGTATATTAATATATACAAACACATGCATATATAAATACATTTATATATATTTCAAACTAGTTTCTTAAGGTCTATTTTCTAATTGAGAATATATTTATAGTTGATGTCAAGTGGAATTTGGCAGAGAGGTAAAGAAGAAGAAGGAGTTTATGGTTTTCTAATAGAAGACATCAGGAAAGAAGTGAACAGGGCTTCTAAACTGGTAAGTAAATTGTTTTACTCATTACACTAAATACTATAAGTATGATCATACTAGGGAAGTTTTTTCCATCCGTTTCCCTACTGGAAATTTATAAGACTTTGATTTTATGTTAAAAGGCTTATTTTTGTCAAATAAGGTATATTTTAGAAGAACTTTTTGTGTATTTGCAAATAAAAGCGAGGTTAACCAACCCTGAATAATATGTGACAGTGCTGATTTCACTTCCTTATTTTATTCCAACCTATCCATCATTTCACCCACTCCTACCATCCGAATTATGACCATACTTCCACTCTGCTGTTCTTCAAACCTTTAATCCTGAGTCAACCCAGATGTTCACTTTTCATTCTTATACCTCAGTTGCTGGGTTGGCATGATGGGTTGAGGTGGAAATTACACAGCTATGCAGACCAGTAATTTATGATATCTCCACCTCTTGTGGACATTCTGTGACATTGTGTACCTTTGTTCATTGCGTTCTCATGTTCTCCAGGATAACTACTCTACGCTTTAACCCCTTGTTCATTTAATTATAGTTTGTGAACCTTCTGTGTGATACCTACTATATTAAATGCAAGGAAAGGATTGTAGGTTTCCACCTGGTCTGAGTAGAAATAATGAGAGTTAGGGGTGCCTGGGTGGCTCAGTTGTTAGGTGTCTGCCTTTGGCTCAGATCATGATCCCAGGGTCCTGGGATCGAGCCCTGCATCTGGCTCCCTGCTTGGCGGGAAGCCTGCTTTTCCCTTTCCCACTCCCCCTGCTGTGTTTCCTCTCTCACTTGTGTCTCTCTCTCTGTCAAATAAATAAATAAAATCTTTAAAAAAAAAATAATGAGAGTTAGAAAATGAGAGGGTTAAAAAAAATGAGAAAGTTGGAAGTACAGGGAATTTTGTCCAGAGAATATAACTGGAACTGATGGTTTCAGTGGTGGAGCAGTTTTGGGTGATGACAGGATTCATTATTACACTGGAGTAGTGATGAAGGGACACATCATAACTGTCAAAGAAAGGTTGTCTCATCAATGTCGAAGTTGTTTACAAAGGGGTAGCAAGAATTAAGATACAGAGAAAGGTGCCAAAGTGTGGAGGAAGCTAGTAGGTGACAGAGGGTAGATATCATTAGGCTCAAGGGACCAGATTTTTTAAAGTATGAAGGCAAATTTATGGCCTATAACCTGCAACAGAGAACTAAAATAATGTTCTGATTGTCCCCCTTGCCTTTTTCCATATCCTACTCCCAACCCTTGCCAAGTCTGGATGAAAATAAAGGAGGATGGGAAAATAAGTAGCTTCACTCAAGAAATTCTGTAAGGGAAGCAAGCATATAGAGACCTTTATCTTAGTTGAAGCAAAAAAAATGGAAGCAATTATTTTTGAAGATGTTGAGGATGCTGGGGGCCAGATGGTAAAATAGAGGCTGTAGGACACAAGAGAAAACCTTGGGAGAAAGGTTAGCAGTGGCATTTATCTCAGGACTATGTGAGAGTATTAGTATCAAAATTCCTCAACCTCCTGATGATAGTGAACTTGTGGTGAAAGATGACCTCAAAAGGTCTCTTTGCAGTTTGGAAATATCTTTTTCTTAAAACATCTGAATCCTCTCTGACTATATTATGAACCTTTTTTTTTTTTAAGATTATTTATTTTATTTTCTATTTTTTTTTAAAGATTTTATTTATTTATTCATGAGAGACAGAGAGGCAGAGACAGAGGGAGAAGCAGGCTCCCCAGGGAGCAGGGAGCCCAATATGGGACTGGATCCCAGGACCCTGGGATCATGACCTGAGCCGAAGGCAGATGGCTTAACCATCTGAGCTACCCAGGTGCCCAGATTATTTTAGAGTGAGAGAGAGCATCAGCAGGAGGGGTGGGGGAGAGCGAGAGAGAATATCAAGCCAGGTTCTGCACCAAGCATGGAGCCCAACTCGGGGCTTGATCCTCCCAACTCTGAGATCATGACCTGAGCCAAAATGGAGTCGGTTGCTCAACCGACTGTGCCACCCAGGCTCCCCTATTCTGAACCTTTGAGAATATCTTTATCCTGAAGAAGTTGTCTCCATTTGCGACATTAAGCTAGAGTTCCGTATGTCAGTTTACTGGAAAAGCCTCAGGTTGGCAAGGTATTCTCCAGTAACCTAGTGGTATTTCATGGGTCAGCATAAGACTGTATAATCCCTTCATCAGTGACCATTTTATAATGGCTATCTCAAGGGTTCCCAGATGTTTTAGATACTGCTCTGTATCTTAGTAATGCTTGAATCATCTAATAGTCTTTGTATTCCTATACCACTGTTATATTTTAGTTAGTGGCAGCAGTACTGTATTTGGTTCCTTTGGGCTACCATAATAAATTACAGCAAACTGAGTCATTTAAAACAGAAATTTGTTCTCACAATTCTGGAGACTAGAAATTCCAAATCAAGCTGTCAGAAGGATTGGTTCTTTCTGAGAGCTGTGAGGGGAGAATCCCTTTCCACGCTTGTCTCCCAAGTTTCTGGCGGCTTCTGGTAACCTTGGTTTGTGACAGCATAACTCCAGTCTCTGCTTCCAGCTGCACATGTTCACATGGTCTTCCCCTCTGTGAGTATGTGTCTTAAATTTCCCTCTCCTTTCACTTAGAAGGACACCAATCATTTGATTAGGGACCACCCTAAATCCAGGATGGTTTCATCTTGAGATCTTTAACTTAATTACATTTACAAAGACTCTCTTTCTGGGGCACTTGGGTGGCTCAGTCACCTAAGCGTCCCACTCTTGGTTTTGGCTCAAGTCATAATCTCACTTTTTCATTTGGTTAGGATAGGGTGATCCTAGCTGACTTTTTTCACAGATTGGTTTTTAATATTGTTTTGCTGTTTTCCTTGATGAATATTTCCTATTTATGTGTTTTTTTATTGAGATTTGAGACTTTAATGTATAGCCATTATGTTTACAAAACCCTTCAGTTGAAAATATTTTAGCCAGGTAGGAAGGAGAAGCTTCTCTGTCCCATCCACATGTTAGATTAGAGATGACTCTTTTACCAGAAATTGTTATAGGAGTGAATCTTTAGTGTCTTTAGACTGTTTCTGGGTAGAACAGTTTTTTCAGAAATTGCTTTAATAAACTGTCATCATAGCTGTTGTATGATGAAAATTAATTTTCAGACTCCCTACAGGAATATTCATTTATAACTTGGTCATGCTATGTTACTCAGATTTTGTATGTTATGACCTCTGTTTTCATATTTTCTTCTAGAAATGCTGTATTTGCAAGAAAACTGGTGCTTCAATTGGATGTGTTGCACCCCGATGTAAGCGAAGTTATCATTTCCCATGTGGACTTCAGAGAGAATGTATTTTCCAATTTACTGGCAATTTTGCGTAAGTTAATTAATTGTTGAATATGAAAGATGAATGTTAAGGAAAAATGGAAAATGGGTATGGATATGCCAATGATATAAATCCTTTGTAAAATTTCTTTTCAGAGCTGCACTGAGTTTACACATATATGTTACATATATGTTTTATATATATTTAAAATTGCTTCCCTCCTCCTTTATGGAGTCATCTCTATCTGCAAAGTGTTGGGAATTGCCAGAATTGAATGGGCTTAACAATTAATATTCATCTTCAGCTCTGGAATATAATATGAAATTATTAATTTATTAATATTTTATAAAAATTTCCACCTTACATAATTCTAGATTTTTATGTCACTCTTTAGATTTACGGTCCACTCTTCTTCCACAGAGCCATATGTATTTCTTTTTCTTTTTTTTTTAAAGATTTTATTTATTTATTTGAGAGAGAGAGCACATGAGAGGGGGGAGGGTCAGAGGGAGAAGCAGACTCCCTGCCGAGCAGGGAGCCCGATGCGGCACTCGATCCCGGGACTCCAGGATCATGACCTGAGCCGAAGGCAGTCGCTTAACTGACTGAGCCACCCAGGCGCCCGAGCCATATGTATTTCTCATTGAGTAAATTGAAGGCATTTAAATTTGGTGGAGTCCAAAAAATAAATATTGTGCCCTGGAGTGCCCCTGACAATATTTACTTTCTGAATCCAGCTTTAAACATCAAGATTTATGAATTTTAGTATTTGATATTATGAGTGTTCTATTTCTTTTAGTCTTTGTGTTCTTGACCTATTTAATGGATTGTTAGCATGTACAAAACTGCAGTTTAGAAAATGCAAATGGAAATAAATTTAGTGGGTTTGGAATAAGTTTTTATTTGCATTTTATGTTACAAATTAAAATATTTCTTTTTAAGTTCCTTTAATTTTGTACAATATTGAGTATAATGGTGTTGCTAACAATATTACATAGGATTCTCAACATAATACTAGTTACTGAAATTCTAGGAGTTAAGTCTTTTTTTTTTTTTTTTTGTAAGATTTTATTTATTTGAAAGAGAGCTAGCAAGAGAGAGCAGGAGCAGGGAGGAAAGGGAGAAGCAGGCTCCTCACTGAGCAGAGAGCCCAAGGCGGGGCTCGATCCCAGGACACTGGGATCATGACCTGAGACAAGGGCAGACACCTGACCGACTGAGCCACCCAGGCGCCCCTCTAGGAGTTAAGTCTCACCACCAAAAGGTTCACATTATGAAAATCCTGCTCTCCTTGGTCATAGTTTGTGAGACTAATTAAGAGTGCCAAAGTTCCAGTCTTGTAGGTTAATTATGAGAGAGATACAAATGAGTTTCCTCTTATAAATGTGAATTGTAATGCTAGTCTCATTGTGTTTTGTAATTTATTAGATGTTGTTTTTCAATAATTTACATTTTAGGTCATTTTGTTGGAAACATCGACCTGTTCAAATAATTTCATCTAATAATTATAGAGACTCCTTACCATGTACCATTTGCTTGGAATTTATCGAGCCTATTCCAACTTACAGCATATTACGAAGTCCTTGTTGTAAGAATGCTTGGTTTCATAGAGACTGTTTACAGGTAAGTTATTTTGTAAGCTTTATCTGATATAAAATTTGTTCCTAGCTGATTTGAATTTTAATTTGTTTTATATTTTATTTTATTAAGGTTTATTTACTTATTTATTTACATAATCTTTACACCCAGTGGGAGCCTCAGACTCATTATCAAGAGTTGCATGTTCCTCAGACTGAGCCAGCCAGGCACCCCTGATTTGAATTTTAAATTGTAAAGAGTTGACCTGTGTATTTTACCTCTACTTGTAACTTAAAAACAGCTTTATCAAAGCGTATTTTACCTATAAAATTTGCTCTATTGAAGTGTACAACTAATATTTTAAAATACTTTAGAACACTACCTTTTAATGTATATTTACACTTAAAAGTTTTTGTTGTTTTAACCTAAGGATTTTGTCTGTATTTCACAATGAATAAAACACAGATTGGGGCACCTGGGTGGCTCAGTTGGTTAAGCGACTGCCTTCGGCTCAGGTCATGATCCTGGAGTCCCTGGATCGAGTCCTGCATCGGGCTCCCTGCTCAGCAAGGAGCCTGCTTCTCCCTCTAACCCTCCCCCCTCTCATGTACTCTCTCTCTCTCATTCTCGCTCTCTCAAATAAATAAATAAATCTTTAAAAAAAAAACAAAAAACAAAACACAGATTTAATTCCCAACTTCATTTACATATTTAAGCTTAGAAAACTAAGATATGTGAAATGATAATTTAACTGGAAGCTAAGATATTTAAATGTTGAGGCCTTTAAAAAAAAAACTAAACACTTTATCACAGCTTCTTGACAGGGACTGATTACTGTTTAATGAATTAAAGGTATTCTTTTTGAAAGCCACCTTGTATGTCAAACCTGATGACCGGTTTTTGGGGGGGGGGGGGGTTGGTTTTTTTTTTAAAGATTTTATTTATTCATTTGACAGAGATAGATACAGCGAGAGAGGGAACACAAGCAGGGGGAGTGGGAGAGGGAGAAGCAGGCTTCCCGCCGAGCAGGGAGCCTGATACGGGGCTCGATTTCATGACCTGAGCCAAAGGCAGACACTTAACAACTGAGCCACCCAGGCGCCCCTTTTTTTGTTTTGTTTTGTTTTTTTAAAAGATTTTATTTATTTGAGAGAGAGAGCGTGCATGGTGGGGGGAAGGGCAGAGGGAAGAGGAGAAGCAGACTCCCCACTGAGCAGGAAGCAAGACTTAGGGCCCCAGGATCATGACCTGAGCTGAAGACAGACGCTTAGCCAGCTGAGCCACCCAGGCGCCCCCGATGACAAGTTTTTAAGTAAATATCATGAAACACATAACATTAAACACTTTAATATTTATTTGATTCAGAAGATTCTTGAAGATTTTTAAAAAGATCTCACTTATTGATAACATCAAATACAATAGTGTACATGTATGAAAGTGCCAACTGATAGACAGTTACAGTTAATAGAATGCCAAATAACAAAGGATTTAATTAAGTTTAACACTTTTTTTAGAGCTTGGCTTTTATTATTGTTTAGTAAAATAAAATGTTATTGATTACAGGTTATTCACAAAAGTATTTTTTAAATGAGTGATCACTCAACCTAGTACAAAATATACTTTCAGAATTACAGTTTATCCTAGTAAACCCCTGCAGTTTCACCAGGGGTGGTATCCCCTGCCTTTGAACTTAAAAATCTTCTAAGCCATCCTGATCATTATGTAGAAACAGAATATTCAGCACCTCATGGACCCTACTTTATAGCACATGTGGATAGAATGAGTGAAGCACAGAGGTTGAGTATGGGATCTGATGCTGCTGTCTACACTCAAGCTCTATTGGTACACCAAAAGGCCAGAATGGAACGACTTCAAAGAGAATTTGAGATTCAAAAGAAAAAGCTGGATAAACTAAAATCTGAGGTCAATGAAATGGAAAATAATCTAACTCAAAGGCACCTGAAAAGATCAAATTCTAAATCCCAAATACCTTCACTCAAAGAAAGGCAGCAGTTGAGAATCTGTAATAGATAACTCCAGACTGACACTGACATTAACCAAATTATCTTTTTCAAGCCCGAGGACCACATTTTATTTTTTAGCGCTGTTCATAACTTTTATGACAATATTGGTTTTGTAGATCCTGTACCACCAAAACCCAAAGATCAAAGGTCCACCATCAAAACACTCAAGACACAGAAAATGATGAGGGGTCTCAGTTGTATTGTACTGCCTGTATTTCTTTGAACCATTCTTAACAGCCTTAATCTGCTGTGAAAAGTGTAAGATACCAAGGCGTTTCTGAGCCAAAAGGCCCCTATATGTCTAAAATCACATTTGAAGTTCAAGAAACTAGTCTGTCATCAAAGTTCCACTGCCTCATAGGATTTTGTCAAATTGAAGGTACAGCAAGGTGGTGTTGTGCTAATGTTAAATGTCAGCCTACAGAGCTAATAATACCTCAATCTAATGTCATGAGCAGTTGAAATTCATCACATGAAAGGTAATCTGCTGAAAGACTTGATTGTCTGCTGCCTAACCATCTACAGTATTACCAGTAGCCCATTGTGGATAATTCTCAGTGTATTAATTAATGCCTAGGTATTCCCAGTACCCTTTTTTTTTTTTTTAATTAAATTCAAGTTAGTTAAGATATAGTGTACTATATCTTTCAGGAGTAGAATTTAGTGATTCATCACTAACATATAACACCCAGTGCCCAATACCTTTTCCCCCTCATGTCACTACTGAATTTTGATAAGAGGAAGAAATAGAACAGTGGTTTTCTTTGTCTTTTTTTTAAGATTTGTTTATTGGGAGCGAGAGTATGAGTAGGGGGAGGGACAAAGGGAGAACAGGGAGAGAGAATCCTCAAGCAGACTCCCTGCTGAGCATGGAGCCCAACATGGGGCTTGATCCCAGGACCCTGAGATGATGACCTGAGCTGAAATCAAAAGTTGGCCACTTAACTGACTGAGCCACCCAGGCACCCCATGCCTTTCTTTCTTTTTTTTTTTTTTTTTTAAAGCTTTAGGTGAAACACTACTTACATGAAGAAAAGAAACAAGGTTTAACTCTTTAAAAACTGCTGACTCCTGGTGCCAATGGACAGGGGGAAAACTTCATGATTTCGTGGTACTCTTGGCCTTGTCTTTGTCTTCCTTAAAAATGTCTCCACTCTGTGGGCGCCTGGGTGGCTCAGTTGGTTAAGCGACTGCCTTCGGCTCAGGTCATGATCCTGGAGTCCCGGGATCGAGTCCCGCATCGGGCTCCCTGCTCGGCAGGGAGTCTGCTTCTCCCTCTGACCCTCCCCCCTCTCATGCTCTCTCTATCTCATTCTCTCTCTCAAATAAATAAATAAAATCTTTAAAAAAAAAAAATGGTCTCCACTCTGTGAAGCCAGCATCCAGGGTCGAAAGATGAAAAGGAAAGCAGCATGCATTGTCTGTAAAAACATGTAGTGAAATACCCCAAAGCTTTTCCTACTGTACCTGTCTCTTGAGTTTAAGTGATTTCTTTTCTTCTTTATTATTTTCTTCTATTTCTACGTTTAGTGTAATAGTCTTTTGTTAACTGATTTTCTTTTCTCCTTTTAGTGATTAAGCACAATCATGTCCCTTTTTAAGCCTTACCTGAGAGAAGCAGTGCCTTAAAATAAAAAACTTCAGTGAAATGAAACTGCACAAAATAACTTTCCTCTACTTATTCTGTACTTTGCCCTCATGAGTGCTGATGTTCTGTGAAGACATACAGACAGATGGTGCCAAGTGAATTGCAGGAAATACTACAAGACTTATGTCTATAAAGTCACACTATATATTGACTTTAGCAGTGGGTGACACCATACAGTATTAATCTTCCACAGGGAAGCTTAAAAGATTTTTAACCCACTGACAGAGCAACAAGGTTAAGCTGGCTTCATCTGCCTGGTGTCCCACAGAATTTTCACAAGAGATTACTATTGGGGTAATTGGGGTTTCAAAACCAGCAATAGCAGCAGTACCTATAGCCTTGGTTTCTGGAGACGTTTAGATGCCTTACTGTTGGGACCATCAGTATCTAAACCTGACTTGGTGGCAGTATCATGTGTACTTACAAAACGAGACTAGTCATATTTAGGACAACTGAAGAAAAGCTGGAAAAAAGAGCAAACTTGAACACTGAAGCAACCTCAAGCCATCTCTTTATTTTGATGATTTATTTTTATAAAGAAACTAAATATGGCCAAGAATGTATATAAGTAAATGAAATCAAGAAAAAGAACTATACATTTAAAAAAAATCAGAATTATGAAATTACATATCTATGCTTACAATGGGGTGAAGGGAAGTGCTAAAAATGTAACAAAAGGTAGGAGATAATGGTGACTGTCATCCCCTGTAGATGTCTGTAAATAGATATGTTTAAATAAGTAGGATTATTACAGGTGATCTATATGAATGTCAAAGCCTTGACTTCTAGGCTTTGCATCTGGTATATGGGAAAAAGAACGACAATCCTAGTTAATTAGACCAGAACCAAAGCCCTTACGTATATGGTGCATTTTGTTTTAAAACTACGCCTTCACCTGCAGTTCTGTCTGAAGACTGATAAATCCGTTTTTACTTGTTTTATTAATAAAAACATGATTTGGGTAAAGAAAAACATTAGAGTGATTACTTTGTATTTTTTTTGCATGAGCCTCGAACTTTTTTATATTTAGGATTATTCTGTTAAAAGTGTCAGGATGGAGCCTATTTTGTTGGGTAAATTTTATAAATTCTGTTAGTTCTTATAAAGAAGTGTTCGTAAAAGTATCCGGGGAGTGCAGTTCATAAATATCATGAAAAGTTATCTTTACCTAATGAGAAAGAAGTTAACACTGTATGAGAATTTTACAAAAGTAATTTATCTTAAGAGTTTATATTTGAATGAATGTAATTGCTGCCAAATCTATCATCTTGTTAATTTTATAAGCGTATGTTATTTTTCAAATTAAGATTTGCCTCATTCAACAAATAAGAAAAATAAAAAAGATTTGCTTCAGTTATTTGTTAGTAATGAAACACAGAGAGGTTCTCAAATTTGACTCTAGTATTCATAGGGCTTTTTTGTGAGCACTGAAAATACCAAATTTCTAATCGTGTCATTAAAAAGTCAAAATAATATTACTTACAAAAATGTAGGTCTACTTTATGCAAATATAATATAAAATCACAGCCACATGGACACCTGTCTGTGACATAAATATGATCATACAATTGTTAACCTGATTAGAGACCAGTTAGAAATAATTCTTGAGTCGTGTTCTGTAAAGGAGCTACAGTGCCTTTTCCATTCTGTCAAACAAGTCTTAACTGAAATAGTAAATGGAGTCTATCCTATTATATAACAATACCCAAAGAAAAATTTTTTTAATCTCTAAACTTCATTAATATAAGACTTGAAGGAAGAACAGTCCTATGCAATAACTTGAGAATTATATATAGTTAAGCATATTTCATCATTTGTGACCTCTGCAATGGTATATTCATTGGAATTTTATACAGAGAGAGTGCAGATTAATATTTTAAAGCTGATGGGAACTTCATTCTGTGTATATAGAGAATTGCCACTGTTGTTCAGTTTGGATTTCTCCATCATTGCAGTGGTCTTGTTGTATCTTCCTTATGCCCTATGTTGTTTTTTTCCTCCATATTAGACACTCCCTTGTATTATATCTATTTACTACGATCTTAGTATCTGTGTACAATTACTCTTAAAGGCCTGTTAGGTTCAGAGATTTCAGTAACTTGTTGCTTTCCTCTGACATTCTTTGTGTGTCCCACTTTTTATTTTTGTTTTTATTTTAATTTTATTTAAGTAATCTCTACATCCAATATGGGGCACAAACCCATGACCCCAAGAACCAAGAGTCGCATGCTTTTTCGACCACGCCAGCCAGGCACCCGCTACTAGTGTTCTTTGAACCTGAATTCTTTTGTTTTCTTTATCATTCATAAACTATTCCCAAGTATATCAGGTCTACCTAATAGATATTTTTTGTGTATCTTTTTTTTGTTGCTAACCTCTGCCTAAAACCCTCTGTGATTTAACTTTAGACACTTAAAAAAAAAAAAAAACTATTGAAGGGGCCTACTAACTGGCCTTTTCTCCTGCATACCTTATTCTATTAATACTGGCTTTGATTTCCCTGTCTAACCTCATTACTGAGTTAGACATGTAATGTAATTGCCATCATGTAATCCCTAAGCATATTATTAATTAGTTCTCTGATCACATTGTGCTCTCTCTTGCCATGGAGACTTGATATGTGCAATTCCCTATCCTTGTAATGCCTTTTGTCCTGTTTTCCTGACAAACCTTTGTTTCCTCTTCCAAACTTAGCTTTGACCTTGCCATTCCTGTGACATTTTTGTCGGGCTCTTATGCAGCCTTAGGTACTTATTCCTTTCTCTTCCATGTATATACTTTAAAACACACACACACACACAAACACACACCACACTTTTACAAAGTATTATAATTGTATCTCACAATTATTCCTTGAAGTAGGATCTAAGTTATTTTGTTTCTTTTTTTGGTATATAGCATAGTGTTTGCTACTTACACAGTAGGGGTTAGATGTTAAATGTGTGCTACTAGTTTTTTTTTTATTGGGGATTGGCTATTCTTTCTAGTAGGTTTATAGTTTTCTGTTTCTGAGTACCCTCTGCCTGCTGGCTCTGTATTTATATTTGCTGAAGCAGTGAGAGTAGGTTCTATATTTCTCCCCTTTTAGGAAGAAAACTAGCTTAGAGATTGAATTAAAAACAGAACCAAGGATGTTTTATAGTAACACTTATTTAAATATCCCTCCTAGTTGAAGTAGTTCAGTATTTTTACTGTTTTATTCACTAAGAGTGATGAACAATATGATATGTGGGGACAGAAATGACATTGGATAAAAAGGTTGAGAAAGATCTAAAGCTAAGAACAGCCAATTCATTAACTTAATTTTTTTATCATTGGGGGAAAAAGATCTCAAAATTTTAGCAGTAGAATAACTTCGTTTATCAAAGCTTGAGAACTAGCATAGAAAATGTTTTCCTAATATATTAAGTGAAAAGTAGGACATGTTCTGTTAGCTATTATAATTTATGACCTGACACCATGTTAAATTGTTAACAATAGATTTTCTGTTTTCCACTGTAGGTTCAAGCAATAAATGCAGGAGTGTTTTTCTTTAGATGCACAATATGCAATAATAGTGATATATTTCAGAAAGAGATGCTGAGAATGGGAATTCATATTCCTGAAAAGTGAGTACCATTTAGCCTTTTGACAAAAAGATAATTTACATGTAGGATTTAATAACAATGGAAGTAATCACTTATGTCTGTCATAGAGAAGCAGTCATCTTAAATGGGGAAATATAAACCTGTCCCTACCATTGCCTCCTTCTCCTTCCCAGATTGCTAGTTCTTAAGAGCAGGGACTGTGACTTTAATGTCTCATTAGTTGACTTATAGTCTCTTTAATAAATACCTCAATTGTGTACAATATTAATTGGTTGACTTATACACAATATAATAGACTTCAAAATGGCATGTATAAATTAAGAGAATCAAGATGTGGTTTAAAATGTATAACAAGGATTTTTTTTTTCTTTTTTAAGATTTTATTTATTTATTTGACACAGAGAGAGAGAGGGATCCCAAGTAGGCAGAGTGGCAGGCAGAAGGAGAGGGAGAAGCAGGCTCCCTGATGAGCAGAGAGCCCGATGCGGGGCTCGATCCCAGGACCCTGGGATCATGACCTGAGCCGAAGGCAGATGCTTAACCGACTGAGCCACCCAGGCGCCCTAACAAGGATTTTCTTAATACTTAAAGATGAGGAATCCTGGGCGCCTGGGTGGCTCAGTTGGTTGAGCGACTGCCTTCGGCTCAGGTCATGATCCTGGAGTCCCTGGATCGAGTCCCGCATCGGGCTCCCTGCTCGGCAGGGAGTCTGCTTCTCCCTCTGACCCTAACCCCTCTCATGTGCTGTGTCTCATTCTCTGTCTTAAATAAATAAATAAAATCTTTAAAAAAAAAAAAAAAAAAAAAAAGATGAGGAATCCAGAAATAATGTTACTAAACTTGAAATTTAAAAATTAGAAGTAAAATATTAGGAAAAATGTAAGTTTTAGAAAAAAATTTTTTTTTAATTTTATTTATTTATTTATTTGACAGATACACAGCGAGAGAGGGAACACAAGCAGGGGGAGTGGGAGAAGGAGAAGCAGGCTTCCTGCTGAGCAGGGAGCCCGATGTAGGGCTCAATCCCAGAACCCCGGGATCAAGACCTGAGCTGAAGGCAGATGCTTAACGACTGAGCCACCCAGGCGCCCCCAAAATATCTAATATTTCATTTAACATTTAAAAATTCACTGTGAGAATAATTAACTGCAGGATAAAATGACACTAATAGATTTATATCTTGAAGAGAATGATTAATCCTAAAAAGAAAAAGTTTTATCCTTGTTCCTAAGTATGTGAAAAGTTTTTGTTTTTAGATTTCATAACTAATCCTTTTATGTAACATTTTAGTTCAAATATTTTATATCTTTCTTCATTTACAGAGATGCATCTTGGGAATTAGAGGAAAATGCTTATCAAGAACTTCTGCAGCACTATGAGCATTGTGATGTCCGAAGATGTCGTTGCAAAGAAGGGCGAGACTATAATGCACCTGATAGGTATATTGGGAAGTCCAGTTGTGCTTATTGTACTTATTTAAACTGTCAGCTGAGGAAGTAGTTTTCTAGTTAATGAAATGTAGTTTTGCTCTTAGGATGTTTGAAGTTTTAACTTGAGAGGAAGTATATTTATTAAATACATGTTGACATCTGTTTACAGAGAAATTATTGCTATCAGCATAGTTGTAACTTTTTTCTGTGGTGTATTTTCATGAGGCTTCATTTTCTAGAGCTGCACTGCCCTATGTGGTAGCCACTGGCCACATGTGGCTATTGAGCACTTGAAATGTGGCTATTCCAAATTGAGAGGTGTTATAACTGTGATATGCACAGTGAATACTTACTGTCTTAATTTGCTATGGCTGCTATAACAACAGATACTTGTTTTCTAACAATCCTAGAGACTAGAAGTTCAAGATAGAGGTATCGGCAGGTTTTATTTCTTCTGAAGCCTCTCTCCTTGGCTTGTACATGGTTCCCTGCTAGCTGTGTCCTCACCTAATTGTCCCTCTGTCATGTCCTAATCTCCTTTTCGTATAAGGACACCAATCATATTAAATTAGGGCCTACCTATGTGACCTCATTTTAATTATCTCTTTAAAGGCTCTATCTCCAAATACAGTCACATAGTGAGGTGTACTGGGTTTTAGGACTTCAACTTATGAATTTGGAGGGAACACAATTCAGCCCATAACAGTAAGACAAAAAGAACTAAGAGTATCTTGTTATATATATATATAGATAAAGATATATATATCTTTTTATATTGATTACATGTCAAGTAAAATGAATGAATGAATGTTGAAATTCATTTCACCTGTTTCTTTTAATTGGGTCGCTAGAAAAATTTAAATTCATTAAATGACTTGCATTGTATTTCTATTGGATGGCACTGTTCTAGAGCTTAATTTAACTAAAGTAACCTAGCAGTGTTCTTTTGGATCACTATAAAAAGTGTTTGATATTTAAAATTATTGATTCTTTTGTAATGTCAATAGATACTGGCTCTAATCTTAACCATTATTTTGTGCCTTCTATGTACACTATACTGTGTTAGATACTAGAAATCAAGAGTATCTTCATTTTTTAAGATGCAGAATAAACAGAACAAATCCAGTTTTGTTGAGTTTATGGAGGATATTTCAATAAATTTTTAATCCCTGTTATACAGTCTTACTTAACATGGCAAGCTGAAACTTAAAGTGCAAAGCAGAGTATCGGGAGTCTTGTTTCTCATGGAAAGTGATTTGGCTGGGTAAGCTAGCTCTTATTTGCAAAGACTCAGCTGAGGTCTTGCCAGCTTTGAAAAATTTCCCTAAGCATCTCTTACCACTCCTGATTTCCCATTCTAGGCTGGGTTTTTTCTTTTGTGTGCCTGTTACAATGCAAGTGACATTGTTGGAATTTGTTTTTGTCATTAGACTAAAAATTATTTAAGGGCAGAGATCTTATTGAAGATGTCAAGTATTGTATATTCTTGCTTACATGACTGGTGACCCTGATTATTCGTTTGTAAACCTCTAAAGGGTTGTTCTGAGGCACAGATGAGATAATGTATATAAATATGCTTTGTAAACAATAAGGCACTTTAGATTTCTAAGAAACAATACATTCACTCATATTGATATTTTCTAAATTTATTTTGGGCTGTTTTATTTTTATTATTTTTTTAAAGATTTTATTTAATTATTTGACACAGAGAGCATGTGAGCACAGGCAGGGGGAGCAGCAGGCAGAGAGCCTGGTGTGGGGCTCAATCTCAGACCCTGGGATCATGACTGAGCCACTGTGGTGCCCCTATTTTGGGCTGTTTTAGTTAACCTGTATATATTGCTTATATATTACTGGTCACCCAGTCAGTAGCTACCAAACTCCCCTTCCTTTCTGGCAACTACTTGAGGTTGCTATTCCTTGTCTTTTCTCCTGGGACACAGTACTTGCCATCTGAATGCTTTTTGTTTTTTTGTTTGTTTTGTAATCTCACTCCCTCGTTCTAGTGATAGGAAGGTAGTTTTGCTGAAAGGCACCATGGTGTAGTGGTTAGGAGCATGGGTCCGAAGCCAGGTAAACTAGGTTGGAAGCCCCACTTTGGGACTTACTAGCAGTGTGAACTTAATTGGGCAAGTTATTTACCTCTATATGCCTGGTTTCCTCCTTTTTAAAATGAAGGATAATAGCGATTTTTCCTATTAAAATTATGAGGATTAAACTTTTTGTGTAGACTGAGAACTGGGCCTGGTGTATAGTAAGCACTCATGTTAGATGTCCTCTTTCTCTTCATCATTTGGCAGAACTATCTGGGAAAGTGAGGGAGACACACACCTCCATACTCATATCCACACAGAGAGATTCACCTATACCTAATGGAGGGGGGGGTATCCAACTACCTCCTTTTTTTTCTTTTTCTCATTCTTTTTCTTTTTTTCTCTTTTTTCTTTTTGAGAGAGAGCATCACGTACATACACGTGGCGGGGGGGGCGGGAGGCACGGGCAGAGGGAGAGGGAGAGAGAAAATCTTAAGCAGACTCCACACCCAGCATGGAGCCTAACACAGGGACCCATCTCATGACCCTGAGATCATGACCTGAGCTTAAATCAAGAGTCAGATGCTTAACCGACTGAGCCACCCAGGCACCCCCAACTACCTCTCTCATCACCTACACATCCACACACTCAGGGAGTATACCCGTTTTATTCATAGAGGGTATACTCATAACCAAACAAAAAATAGGCCCCACACCACAACCCACACCCACACCTATACAGAAAATGTGAGTATGGACTGGCATACATCACACAATCCAGTGGAGAAACATGGAAGTGGGGGTGGAAGGGAACAAACAGGGGAATATAAATATGGGCAAGATAGTAAGTCTGGATCCTGTTGAGCTACATAATACTGGCGTTTATAGGAAGTAATTCCTCACAATGAATGTGAAAAATAATATTTTAGGTAAGATAATATATTTACTGATGCTTCTTCCATGTTGGCCACATTTTTATAGCAATTTCCCTATGAGCTAGTAATTTCCAAATATAAAAGAAATTTTTTTCCTTCTATCCTATTCTTTCTGGTGTTTATAGTCTTGCGTATGTGCATGTACATGTTGATATTTAGTTTAGGTATTTTAAGTTAGTGACTATTTAGAGGAAGAGGTTACAAACATAATAAGTGAAATAGAAAAAAAATAAGAAAGAGTAATGTAGTGTCAAAGCAGATAATCTGTTTTCCCTCCTTTGGTAGAAGGGTTGGTTATATGTGAGATGGACAGTGTGGCCTGTGGCAGTGCAGGTGGTTGGAATTAGACCAAGTTAATACTAAAATGTAAACATCTGCTCTGTTTATGTCCTCAGCAAATGGGAAATAAAGCGCTGTCAGTGTTGTGGTTCTAGCGGAACACATTTAGCTTGTTCCTCATTACGATCATGGGAACAAAATTGGGAGTGTTTGGAATGTAGAGGTATTCTCTACAATTCAGGTAATATTTTGTAATTTTGAATAAAGACGTTTTTTCAAATGTATATTATTTTAAAATTTCTTCCTGTATATCTGTAATGCTAACATTGGGTTTTAAATCTACAGAGGATTTCCAAAAAGCCAAAAAACATACATTACCCAACACTAACAGTGTGGGAATAACTGATTGTTTGTTGGAAGAATCATCACCTAAATTACCCAGACAGTCACCTGGAGCCCAGCATAAAGATCTACTGAGGTATGTATTTTGAATTGGGGAAAAATATAAAACTCTCTCTTTTTTTTTAAAGTAAGCTCTGTGCTCAGTGTGGGGCTTGAACTCACTGCTCTAAGCTCAGGAGTCACATGCTCTCTCAACTGAGCCATCCAGGCATCCCTATAAAGCTCTATTTTGAGAAAAACACACTTAGAATATTAGCTGATCTTAGTATTCTGGAAGAGTGTTTTTCAAACTGTAGGACCAATATTTGATCATGAAGTCAATGCAACCAGCATTGAAAAAAGAAAACAAAACAGGATAGAATGAATGTAAAATATCAGATTGCATTGCAAATAGAATATATATGAAATTTATTTTATTGTGTACTGAGTCATGATGTAAAATATATATTATAGGTCATTTTCAAGGTAGTTTAAAATACCAAGTATACCATGTTACTTGGTTGAAAGGAAGGAATCATTTAATATAGTGATTTTTTTTTAATTGTGTAATCATTTGCTTAATATATTTGCTGTCAATGTCAGAGGTCTAAATGTCACCTCTTTAGAAAGTTTAAGGCACACATACAAGTATTACTGTATTAATGCCTAAATATTTTCCTACCTGGGCTGGTTCACCCCATCCTTAGGCAACCTAGTGGTTCCCAGCTTCCGGGAGGTCACCATATTGATGCCAAACTTAGTGCAGACACCCAGTTGGCATAGCACACAACAGCCTAGAACTGTGCTCAAGTGATCCTCCTGCCTCAGCCTCCTGAGTACCTGGGACTACAGGTGTACACCACTGTACGTAGTAAAATAAGTAACTTTCAAAATCATAACATTTAAATAAGACTAGAATTACAACTTAGTATCATGTCAGGTGTTTATTCAGCTGAAGTTAGGATTTTTAACTATATGTAGCTTTGCGAAGGAGTTTTTAGAAAAATACGCAAAGCTAACATTAGTAGCTAAGCATGATGGAAGGAAGTACTTTTTTGTTAAAAATAGTATCAAGTTAGGGGCACCTGGGTGGCTCAGTTGGTCAAGCATCTGGCTGACTCTTGGTTTTGACTCAGGCCATGATCTTGGGGTCCTGAGATCCAGCCCCACGTGGGTCTCCGTGCTCAGCAGGGAATCTGCTTGAGATTCTCTCACTCTCCCTCTGTCTCCCCCACCCATCTCCCCACCTACCCCACGCCCCGCACATGCACCCACGCGTACACTCTTTTTTTAAAAAAAATAGTATCAAGTTAAAACTTAGAAGGTAAAGAGAATTTCTGTGAAAATACTTGATAACTAGATTTATAGATGAAGTGGAATATGAAGTACTATTCAAAAAGTGAAGAATTGCTGTTTTAAGATATCACTTGTGTTAACTGAAAACTTGTTACAGATGTTTTTTAATATTTTCAGTATCAAAAAAGATGTTCACATTAATTTTAAAACTTTTAATATGTAGGTTTCCAAAGATATTATACCAGGGAAGTTTGATTCCTTGTTCCATGCTTTAACATCATATTCTAAAAGAATAACATCAGCATTGCCATTCCAGGCAGGAACAAGGAATCAACCTGTTACACAAAGGCATATTTCTGAAGGATTGTCTTACTTCCAAAAGACTTCCGTTTTCCTGCAACCTGGGTTAATGAATTAGGGGGTGTGTGAAGAAAGAAAAAGCAAAGCCTGGTCCACATTGGGGCATTGTAATGTTTTACGATGAGAAAAATTTATACTTGATGTGGAAAGATGATCCATGGACACTGCTCCAAACAAGATTATTTTGAGTACATTAATTTCAATTACAGATGGAGAAATTGAGGCAGAGACAATTGATTTAGTCCATACAATTGCCTGGAGGTCTTAATAAGACATAGGCTGCTAGGCCTCATGCTCAGAGGTTCTGATTCTGTTTACTTGCTGTTATGGCTCAAGAATTTCCACTTCTGGGGCACCTGGCTGGCTCAGTCAGTGGAGTATGCAACTCTTGATCTCAGGATTGTAGGTTCGAGTCTCACGTGGGTGTAGAGATTACTTAAATATAAAGTCTTGGGGGAAAATTTTGCATTTCTAACAAGTGTCCAGATGCTGTTGCTGCTGCTAGTTTTGAACCACACTTTGAGAATTATTGCTATAGAATTGTGAATTGTGTTTATAATATTGACTCTACTGTTAACTAACTTTATGATTAGAAATACATTGTGAAATCTCTTAAAACTATGGTCTCTCATAGAGTAAGCAGAAATTACATTTGTTCTGTTTTTAAAGGATCTAGTAAACTTGAAATGCCTTGGAACAACTGTTTGCTATAGCCACTGGCCAGGAGGGTGAGATTCTGAGCTTCTCTCTTACATCTGAATCCACTGAATTGATCAAATTTGAGAGAATGATCTATCAACATTCTCATAGGTCTTTTATGATACTAGATTTTAATTGGTAGGAAATTGGGGAGTCAAGAATTTAGAAACAAATAGCTTTTTGGTTCTCGTGGCAGCTGCTGTCCGTTTTGGGTGGGAGTTGGGGAAGAATTTCCTTTTTAACTAATTTTTCTATTTTTTATTGGCTAAATAACTGCTGTGTCATGTAAAGTACTTTAGAGTACTTAACCTCTCTGTTTAAATTCATATCTTATAGGCAAGGCAGTAAATTTAGAAGAGACGTTTCAACAATAATGATGGAATTAGGATTTCAAATTAAAAAAAAAACTAAAAGATTATGGATTAATAAAGCCAATATCTGGAATAGTGCCTTAGATGGATTCAGAAATCAAAACTTTAATCCTTCATACACAATTGAAGTAGCATATATCAATGAAAATGACAATTTTGGAAGAGAACATCCTGGATCAAAGCAAGAATTCCTAAGTCTCTTAATGCAGCATCTTGAGAATTCACCAATATTTGAAGGGTCCTTGTCAAAGAATTTGTCTCTAAATTCTCAAGGTAATTTTATTTATTATTGTATCTGCTGAATATACCATGTGAAAGAGATAGCTGGTTAGAATTAATATTCAGTCCCTGTGGTCGAAATGTATAGTTCACTTTGTTGTAAAATACTGATTGAATCACAGAAGAGTAGAGAAAGGAGAGTGATGTTCTTTAAATTTTGTAGTGAAACTTTTTAAGAATATACTTAATTTGTTTTAGCAATATCTTCCTTGGAGTGAATTTATAATTAAGTGTAACTTCTTAAAAATGTACTTTATATTCATTCTAATTTCTTTTGAATAGAGTGGCCAAATAGAATGGATGATTATTTAAGCCCTTCTTGTTCACATATTTGGAATTTGCAGATCAGATGTTTCTTCACAGGCTAGGATTTTTATCACATAATTTTCTGGTCCACATCTGACAGATTTTTTTAATGTGCTTTTGCTTTCAGGAATTTTTCATGCACATTTATGTATATGATACTTTTCTGTCTTTTGATGATGAATTAAAACATGAATTTCAAAAAGTGATTAATTCTAGCATTCTTTTTTAGGAGCTTTTATACCACTTTTGCTGTAATAGGAAATTCAAAAGAGTGAGAAGACTTACTTCATTCCATTTGAATTTTCTCTTATATTTTCCCTAGAACTTCCTTACTGTTGCCTGAAGCATCATTAAAATAACTGAGAAACTACCAAGGTTTATTTGTACACACTGTTTAACTCTAAACTCCCTAAAAAAAAATCACTCCAAATAATCAGTAATGTTAACTCAAGACAGTTTTGGTACAGTGGATAAATGCATAAATTCACAAAATCTGAATTCAGTTTTGTACACATCTATTTCAGTTACTTTATATCCTTAGATTAATTATGCAACCTCTCTGGAATTCATTTAACAGAGAAACTGTGACTGCTAATACGTAGCATATAAGGTTATTGTTGAGATTTTATTATTAGTTCATGTATTGATAATGTTACTTAATAATTTGCTCTTTATTAAGAGAAAGGAAAATTTACATATCTTTGATTTATCAAAGCTAAAACATTTATTTTTAAGTTTTTTTTTTTTTTTTTTAAGATTTTATTTGCAAGAGAGAGAATGAGATACAGAGAGCATGAGAGGGGGGAGGGTCAGAGGGAGAAGCAGACTCCCCACTGAGCAGGGAGCCCGATGTGGGACTCGATCCCGGGACTCCAGGATCGTGACCTGAGCCGAAGGCAGTCGCTTAACCAACTGAGCCACCCAGGCGCCCCATTTAAGTTTTTATTTTAATTCAAGTTAACATACAGTGTTATATTAGTTTCAGGTGTACAGTATAGTAATTCAGCACTTCCATACATCACCCTATGCTCATCATGACAAGTGCACTCCTTAATCACCATCACCTATTTCACCCATCCCCCCACCATTCTCCCCTCTGGTAACCATCAGTTCTCTATAATTAAGAGTCTGTGTCTTGATTTGTGTGTGTGTGTGTGTCTCATTTTTTTTCCTTTGCTTGTTTGTTTTGTTTCTTAAATTCCACATATGCGTGAAATCACACAGTATTTGTCTTTCTCTGACTTATTTTGCTTAGTAGCTGAAACATTTTAAATGACAATTTAAAAAATATTGAAAGTTATGATGACATGGTAAGATAGCATGTACTCTTGGGAGTAAATTTGTGCCATTTTGGAAAATAATTTAGCCCTATTTATCAACAACCTCCTTTGAACTTCTATACTAATCAAATAATCAAAGATATATAAAAAAGAATATGGAAATAGATATTGATTGTAATATTGTTTCTCATATTTTTGAAATTATGACCTAGCCAAGGTAGCCAGTCATAAGATGGTTTACATTGCAGCACATCTATAAATTAGTCTTAATCAGTCATTAACTGTAGATTTGGATAATTGTGTATAACATAGAAAAAGTTTACAATAATATTGTAAGTAAAAAAAAAGCAAAAGTCAAACTATTTGTACACTAATATACATACTAGAAATACACATCAAAGTGTGCACACTGGTTATTGTGATTGAATTATATGTGATTTTTATTAAAGATTTTCTGTATTTACATCTTTTCTATTATAGGTTATTTTGTATTCAGAAAAATATATTTAGGTGAGATCTGTATTTTATACATGATTCTAGTTTCTGTAAATTATTTTACATTTGTCTAAGTCTTGGTTTTTTGGGATTTTTAATTTGCTGTATATGTATTCATTATATATGGTTATCTTATAATAAAAGAATTATATTTGATGTATTTTCATCTGTATCTACAGCTCTGAAAGAGAATCTTTACTATGAAGCTGGCAAAATCCTTGCCATTTCTTTGGTTCATGGTGGTCCTTCACCTGGTTTCTTTTCTAAAACCTTGTTTAACTGCCTTGTTTATGGACCAGAAAATACCCAACCAATTTTAGATGATGTTTCAGACTTTGACGTGGCACAAATTATAATCAGGGTAAGAAATGTGCTTGTTTATTAAAATACAGACTACATTCTAGTTATATTTGAATGTAAATGCTGGATCTACAATCGAATAATACTCTTTGTGCAGTAGTCAAGAGGCATCAATATTTTTGTTTACCAGCAGAGTTCACAAACAATTAAGAGATAGATGTTAAAGTTAGACAACTAGAGATCAAAGGGCCAGGTGTAATGTTGATATAACTAATTAGATAATGTGACTTTGGTCTGTGGTCAAAGTGGTTTGTTAACACTTCTCAGAATTAGATGGATTTATCTACCCTGCCAGAGACAATATAAGGCAGGTTCTTATTGTCTGCTAGATTTCAGATAAAAGTGCACTTTCTACAGGCAGGTGGATCTGCAGAAGAAGGACTTGGCTTACCAGTCAAAAAACTTAGTCTGACTCCTACAGGGAGATAAGTATGATAGGTGGAGAGAAGGACCAGGCTGAATTTCTTCTTTATGGAAGCAAGTGAGGAGACTCAATGTTTCCACCTAAAAATAGTTACCATTTATTAAGCCCTGTACTACATATTACCTGTACAAACTCAATTTAGTTATCATAATGCCCTATAAGTATTATTGCCTACATGTTACTGATTTGGAAACTAATTGAAACGATGAAAGTCATCCAACTTTTTTTCCTTTAACCTTCTTCCTGCTTAACCTTCTTCCTGCTATCCATTGTCTCCATTAATAGGCAGGATAGTTTAATGGTTAAAACCAAATGCTCAGAAGTCAGATTTTAGTTTGAAATAACTGCTATAAGCTGTGTGACCTTGGGCATGTTAGTTAATCTTGGTAAGCCTCAGTTTCAAAATCACAAAGTAAACAACATGGAAGTGTGTCCTTTTATTTGGCCCAAGGTGTCTCATCCTAAAATGGTAGTTTTTTTGTTTTTTTGGTTTTTTTTTAAGATTTATTTATTTATTTATTTGACAGAGACACAGCTAGAGAGGGAACATAAGCAGGGAGAGTAGGAGAGGGAGAAGCAGGCTTCCCGCGGGGCAGGGAGCCCGATGCGGGGCTTGATCCCAGGACCCTGGGATCATGACCTGAGCTGAAGGCAGACACTTAACCGACTGAGCTACCTAGGCGCCCCCTAAAATGGTAGTTTAAATTGATCCTTTAACTCAACTGATTTTTCCTTTTCTCCTCTTTACCAAAAGGTGTACTTTAGTAGAACTTCATTATCTCAGCTTCCTCTATCCTACTCATTTCTTAACTTCTTATAGTCAGACTTCTGTTCCCACAGAACATTCTCCCAAGTTAGCTAGTTTGTAGCTGATTCCAGGGATCTAAATCACCACATGCAAAAGCCTTTCTTTCCTAATTCCTCATATCCTCCTTTTATAATCACCACTGTCTTTGAGTTTATCTCTTCTGTTTTCTTTAATATTGGATTTCTTCCTACCCCTGAAACTTGGGTATTATTCTGTGTTATCCTAACAGTCCTCCCTCTGTACTATTTGGAAAGCTGCTTCTTACCCATAACCTTTCTGAATGATTCCCAGACCTGTGTTTTTGAGCCACCAGTCTTTTATATCCAGATAGGGTCTGAGTCTTCCTAACACACTGAGCCCAACATGTTTAATAAGATAACTGTTTTTTCCTCAGAGTTTTTTTTTTTTTTTTGCCTGATTTTTCTTTTCAAAAGATTTATTTCCATGCCTTTCTGGAGAAAGGGCCATTTTCATTCTTCCATATTCCATTTATCAGTATGTGTCAAGTCATCTTATCTCTAAAAGTGAAGTTTATCTTCAGCATTTCCCTCTTATTTCTTTTTTTTTTTTTTTAAGATTTTATTTATTAATTTGACAGAGAGAGACACAGTGAGAGAGGGAACACAAGCAGAGGGAGTGGAAGAGGGAGAAGCAGGCTTCCCACTGAGCAGGGAGCCTGATGCGGGGCTCGATCCCGGGATACTGGGATCGTGACCTGAGCCAAAGGCAGACGCTTAATGACTGAGCCACCCAGGCGCCCCTTCCCTCTTATTTCTAATGTATTTACTATACCAAACTGAAATTATTTCTGGGTTCAAACAATTAGGATATTATTCTAATATTCAGGATGATTCTTTTAAAAGTATAGTTTTGATAACATTGCTTTCTTCCTCAGGAATCTTCAGTGGCTTCTCATTGCCTAGTGAACAAAGTTCAAGCTATTCATTAGAGTATTTAAGACTTCCAACTCCTCTCATCGCTTTATTTCTGTTTCTGTGCTCCTATACAATGTTTGTTTGTTCATTTAGTCAACAAATAACTGTGTACCTCATATTGTTTCATCATTGAAGATATAGTAGTGAACTAAAGTCCCTGCCTCCTTGAAATTTACATTTTAGAGGAAACACAGAAGATAAATATATAATATACTGTCGTGTAGTAAAATGTATTGTAAAAATAAATAAAAAAGAATAAGAGAAAGGAGATAATGTTTGGGATATAATAAGTTGGAGCTTAGGCTAAGCTTCTGTAACAGAGACCCCAACAGATATTTCATTTCTCTAAAATTTGTTATCTAGATTTTAATGTAGGGATTGGCAAATTATGGCTGTAGGCCAAGTCTGGCCTGCTACCTCTGTTGTTGTAAATAAAGTTTTATTGGAACACAGCCATACCCATTTCCCATTTGTTATGTGTCTATGACTGCTTTTACACTATAGTGGAAGAGTTGAGTAGTTGTGACAGACACCCTATAGCCCACATATCATAAGATGCTGTCTGGCCTTTCAGATGGCTTGTATTTTAGCAGTATGGTTATGATATACCAAGTCATCTAGGGAATTGGATTCCTTCCTCTCATTGTGTAATCACTTAGGATATCATCTTCATCTACATGAAGCTTGCTCTTAAGGGAGGAAATGGAAGTAGAGTTCAGGGAAGTTTGACACGTTTTCACTCACATTCCTTTGGATAGCTCTTAATCACATATAGCCACATTTAGCTGCAAGGAAAATTTGGCTATCAACTAAAACTCAGGGTGGTGGGTTTGGGAGCAAAGGTAATATGTACCTAACTATTAGTCTCTGACAGTATGTGAAGGTAATATTTTGAACAGGGTAGTTGAAAAACTTCTGGAATTTCAGCAGAAATCTGAAGTGAATGAGGGAAATCATAAATCACTGGAAAAAGTTTTTTGGAAGGAAGAGATAAAAAGGAAATTTTGTATTCAAATGAACCATTGACTGCTTCCTATTTTTAATCTTTCTTTCCCTGTGTAACTTTGTTAAAGAGCTAACCTGTATGTAAGTGTCTGGCACGTAAATGGTCAGGTGTTCCTTTGTTTATACTGTTTCCTGAACTACTCTTTTGATTCTATCCCTGTTTTAAGTCCCTCATTAAGTCTTTAAAGCCAGATAGCTGATATTCTTTCTCTTTCATGAAATCTCAGGTTATTTCACTTGCCTCTCTAGTACTATGTAACTGTTCTGTGTCAGTTATTACCTCTTATGTAAATAATTTCCTGTATTAAAGTGGCAGTTTACTGTAGGTTTCTTGAAGGCAGAAATTGACACTATTTATTAAACTGGATTGTCCTTTATTCTAGAAAAATAATTCTTGATATACTTTTACTCCACGGTGGTGTTCTCCAGAATTGATTATAAAGTAATAAGTGTCATTTGAAATGTGAATATTATTCACAAGTGAGTAAACTGGGTATATTTTCTTCTTTGTTATAGGTAAATACTGCAACAAATGTGGCTGACTTAAACTCAGTAGTAAATGAATGCTATAACTACTTAGAGCTTATTGGATGTCTAAGACTTATAACTTCATTAAGTGATAAATATATGTTGGCAAAAGACATATTAGTTTACCATGTAATTAAGAGAGTCCAAGCACCCTTTGAAAGGTAAGTTGTTTATATGTGATTCTCTCACATTACATGTTTAAAGTGATTGTCTTATAACAAGAGAGATATTTGATAAAAATTTAAATGCTATTTTAAAATAATGCTTTAAAACTAATGTCTTAAGGATGATTACCATTCTATTTTATACAGAACTGCATAAATGTATGATGCTTGGGTAGGAAAAGTAATCACTATCTCAACTTATAATTTTTCTAAATCAAAAAAATTTTTAAATTCTTAGCATGTAAGCCAACTATTCCATTTCTCCTCACTCATTTAATAACTATTTATTGAGTACCTGTTGTCTGCTAGGTAATAGGTAATCAGTCAACCTGTGGCCAGTCTTGTTCATCTAGCCTACCTTTATTATTGACTCCAGGATTCTTTTCTATCTTTTGTTTTTTAATTTTTAGAAAAATATTTATTTATTTTAGAGAGAGAGCAAGCACTCATGGGGGGAGGGGCAGAGGGATAGAATGCTCAAGCACACTCCCCGCCGAGCATGGAGCCCCATGTGGGGCTCGATCCCACCACCAATGAGATCATGACCTGAGCCGAAACCAAGAGTTGGATGCTTAACCGACTGAGCCACGCAGGCGCCCTGACTCCAGGATTATTTTCAAGCAAATTCCAGACATAATACCATCTCAGAAGTGATCATTTTTAAAAAAATTTTCAGTATCGGGCGCCTGGGTGGCTCAGTTGGTTAAGCGACTGCCTTTGGCTCAGGTCATGATCCTGGAGTCCCGGGATCGAGTCCCGCATCGGGCTCCCTGCTCGGCAGGGAGTCTGCTTCTCCCTCTGACCCTCCTCCCTCTCATGCTCTCTGTCTCTCATTCTCTCTGCCTCAAATAAATAAATAAAATCTTTAAAAAAAAAAAAATTTTTTTTTCAGTATCATTAACCCATAGATTTAAATATATTTGATGTGTTCACAACCATTCACTTCTTAATCTTCCTGGAGTTCTCAGTGTCTCCATGTTTGGCCATTGTAAATGTTCTTACGTTGTTTCTTTTGAGTTCTTTTTGAGGTTGACCTCAATGATCTTTTATAGCTTTCTTGGTATATGGTATATAGCAAGGTATTTCAGGCTCATTTTGTGCATTTTGGACTGAGGAATCTTTGTGTCTTTGAATGGGGAATGATATTTCCAAACTGCAATCTGGATGGTAGGGATGCTTATTTTTGCCAGATTGGTCATTGTTTCTTGGCCTTTTCCGTGGACCCAAACTAGGACATAAAGGGTTTTGGTTTGGTTTTGGTTTCAGTTTTTTAAGGTAAAATACGTCTTGCATTTTACTGATACTTCAAATTCACTACTACAAGATTTTTTAACCTTTTCTTTGTCCCATGTTGAGAATCTCCGTTATCAACTTATGAACAACACAGGAGAATTAGAGTATGAAATAATTACTTACTTGATTTATTCCGCATTTCATAAACAGTAGTCTCAAGTAACATTACCAACATTATCACCAATAACATATTGAAAACAGGTTAACATTATTTTTCTAGGGCTGTGTAGTCAAATTACTGTATTTTAAAGACATTTGGAATATTCATTCTGTGTTGTTATATTACCAACTGTATATACATTTTATTTTCATTTTTTATTTTATTTTTAGTGATTTTTAAAAATTTCATTTTTTTTAAAGTTCTGTAAAATATTTGCATGGTTCCAAACTCAAATTATAATGAAGGTATATCAAAAGAACTCAGCTCTATAATACAAATTGCATTCAAAGAAGTATAGCTTTCATCCTTACCACAACTACTTTTCACCCCCTTATGAAGTCATCATTTCAGTTGCTTTTATTGTTTACCCTCCTATTATTTGTCAGTTTTTTAAATGATAGCAGATAAATATATGTGTGCCTATGTACTAATTTCTTTTATTAGATAAATAGTAACATACCATCCACTCTTTCCAGTCATTTTTTAAAATTGGCAATATATACTGGAGGTTACTCCATAGTAGTAAATACTTTTATTTTTAGAATCTATATCACATGGCCTTTTCCTCTGTGTGTGTGTCTTATAAAGACACTTGTCATTGGATTTTGGGCCAGCCCAAGTAATCTAGATAGGATGATCTCAAGATCTTTAATTATATCTGCTTAGAATCTTTTTCCAAATAAGATCACATTCATAGGTTCCAGGAAATAGGATGTAGACTTACTGGCAGGGGTTGGGGGGCTAGGACTCCAGTCTACCTCAGGATAAATGACAGTATTGGGGTTTATTTCTGGCACATGCCTAGAGCTACAACATGGAAAATGAACTTGGGAATTTGCACACCTGGTAAAGCAGTTCCTCTGCAGGTAGTTTGTAATAGGGTGGTAAAGGGGTATATAGAGAAATGAGCAGATAAAAGGGATTACAGACAAGGAAATTCATAGGACTTGGTAATAAGAAATGGAAGAGCAAATAGTTAAGGGGGACTTTTAGATTCAGCTATACTCATTTGATGGATAATGGAGGCATTTGCCATCAATTATGGTTTAGATTTTAGTAGTAAGGTGATTAACTTTCTTTTGCACTTAATAAGTTTGGGTACTTGGACTATATGGTTCCCATTAGCCTGTTGGATATATTTCTGGGCTAGAGATAGATTTTATTTTTATTTTATTTTTTTAAGACAAGCCAAATTTTATTTTATTTTTTAAGATTTGTATTTATTTAAGAGAGAGACAGAGAGCACGAGCAGGGTGAGAAGCAGAGAAAGAAGCTGACTCCCTGCTAAAGCAGGGAGCCCAATGTGGGGTTCAATTCCAAGACTGCGGGATCATGACCTGAGCCGAAGGCAGACGCTTAACCGACTGAGCCACCCAGGCTCCCAGAAATAATAGATTTTATAGTGATGAATGTATGCCTGCTAAATAGAGCCATGGGAGAGGGTAAGGGAGAAGAGAAATTGGCCTTGTTACAGATCCATGAGGCACAAATAGCAACATTTAAGGCAAAGTAAAGAAAGAAGAAGTTTTGTAAGAGACTGAAAAGATCTGGCCAGAGAAATAAGGGAAACCAGAAGACTGATCCCATAGAAGGAGATCATTCATAAGTTAGGGCAGTTTTTCCTCAGGCATAGACAGGAGTGGAATAAAAGTGAATGGGCAATTAGCAAATGAAGACAGTGAATGTAGCTAAGTCTTTCAGGTAGGTTGTCTTAAAGGAAAACATGGGATTGAATGAAATTTTTTTCCATTTAAAGATGGGAAAGATAAGCACATTTCTGTTCTCTTGAGAAAGAGCCAGTAGAAGGGGAGATGAATCTGTAGCAGGGTACCTGAGGAGGTGGGTAGCCTCCTCAGGGTACCAGAGCTACAGGTAGGACTTAGTCTGATAGATAAAAATATACCTCCATTCTTTCCTAACTAGTGAGAATGTGCATTTAAAATAATTTACTTGTGGGCACCTGGGTGGCTCAGATGGTTAAGCGTCTGCCTTCGGCTCAGGTCATGATCCCAGGGTCCTGGGATCAAGTCCCGCATCGGGCTCCCAGCTCAGCGGGGAGCCTGCTTCTCTCTCTGACCCTCTCCCGTCTCATGCTGTTTCTCTCTCGCTCACTCTCTAAAAAATAAATAAAAAATCTTTAAAAAAAATAAATAAATAAAATAAATAAAAATAAAATAAAGTAATTTGTTACTTGTATTCTGTTAATTATCCATTCATATTTTGCTAATTTCCTATTGTTCTTTTAGAAAAATGATTTGTATTTTTTGTATATTAGAGAAATTAGTTTTCTGTCATATATATTCCCACATTGTTTTGTCTTTGTTAATTTCTTTTTAGCAGTACATAAGTTTAATTTTTTTGTGGCTAAGATTTATTGCTCTTTTTCTTTGCAGTTTCTAGGAAACTTCATTTTATACTATAATTAGCTTTGAAGTATAAAATACTTCACATGTCTACATTTTTCCTCTTAAAAATTGTTAGCTTATTTATTTTTTTTATTGTTTTAGTTTTAAAACTATTTTATAAAATCAAATAGTGTGGGCAGATAAAATTAATTTTATATTAATATACTTGCTTGATATTGTCTTAAAAGTATCATATCATGTATATCTATATTATATATTTTCCTCACATCTAAGTATATGTGATAGTAAATTAGCTAGAAATGTTAATTTGTAATTGTAATACTAAACACGTGTATAAATGTTGGCTTATTGTTTATCTTCTCTTAAGTTTTAAGCAGGGTCTGAAAACTCTTGGTGTTTTGGAAAAAATTCAGACTTACCCGGAAGCCTTTTATAGTATCTTCTGTCATAAACCTGAGAATCTTTCCGCAAAAATCCTTAGTGATCTTTTTACAGTACGCACATTATCTGATGTACAGGCTTTGGGATTTTGGAACAGTTATTTACAGGCTGTTGAGGGTATGTGGATGTTTTATTTTTATGTAACTGTCATAGAACATTTGTTTCAGTATACTAATTTATTTCTTTGAGTTTTGCTTTTTGGTAATACTTTCATCTGCTAACTCCACATTTACAAAATTTATTTTAAGTCAAGTGTATATTATTACTGAGTTCAAAGTGATGAGGAAAGATTACAGAGAAAATTTCAATTTTGCAATTTGTTTTCCTCTAGATAATTTGAGGTGAAAGACATTCTTCCTAGAAAACTATGTGGGTGACTGCCACAGCATAGAATAATCTTAAAGCTAATTATCATCTATTTCATCTTTTTCAATTTTACGTTAAACATCATTGAGCATTAGCAATGTAAAATCATTCCATTTAATAGAGTGGGAAAGATTTAACCTTGAGTTGAAATTCTTTTTTAGGTGGGTTATTCAGTTGTTTTATACCATTTAGTTTTCCTCTCTGAGTTTGATGAGCTAGTGTATCAAACAGTGATGATCTAGAAATGGCTTAAAATTATTTTTACTATCATGCCCCCTGAACCTCTTGGATTATCTGATAATTTTATATTAGAGAAGACATTCAAATATATAATGAGTAGTTCAACTAAATGACTTTCTGAGTTATACTTTGAGGTTCAACTAAACATTTATTGAGTGTACTATTTTCCTGTTACTGCGCTTGATCTGGTGATTTATTTTGCCCAAGATAGATGTTAGTCTCTTAAATATTCCCTGTCTAGTTGGGAAAGAGTCTATGATGATAGTAATATATATAACATAGATTTTCTTTTTTGGTAAACTTTTCAGATGGTAAATCTGCAATAACAATGGAAGACATTCTTATTTTTGCAACTGGTTGCAGTTCCATTCCACCTGCGGGATTTAAACCCACTCCTTCAATTGAGTGCCTTCATATGGATTTTCCTATTGGAAACAAGTGTAATAACTGTTTAGCTCTTCCAATCACCAATACATATCAAGAGTTTCAAGAAAATATGGACTTTGCTATAAGAAACACTCTAAGACTAGAAAAGGAAGAAAGTTCTCACTACATTGGACATTAAAATGTTTTGAACAAAGAAATGCTTCTTTACAAGCTGCTGTTGATACTTTTTGTTTCAGAAATCTGTCCATTATTTGAACAAACTTGTCAGCTTCTTGGCCCAATAAAATTTATATGAACATAAAGGAATGTTTTGGCCACTTAAGCTAAAAAAATTTTTTGTTAACGTGTAGCAGTCAAAGTGATGATACTTTTCTATTTTCTTAATACACATGCGTCATAAATTTTAATATAAATAGTTTTAAAAGAGCTGTACAGACTTTTCAAGTATAATAGCATGGTATATATATATATGTGTGTGTGTGTGTATATATATATATATATATAAGAAAAAAACTTATATTCACTGTTTCTGCAAATTAGCATTAGCTATAGGATGCCACAATGATTTTTCTAGTTTTTTGTAATTTTCAAATTCTTATTTTATTTTAAAGCATTAAATGAAAAAGCAAATTGATAAATCCTGTTATATAAATCAAAGGCATATATTCTGGGGTGTGTGTTATAAGTATTTTTTCTAGGATGGCTCTAAATTGGTTAAAAATGTTTTTAGATTACTGATTTATGTTGAAACAGATCCACACTGCAATTAGATTATGCCTAATGGGAAGTATTATATGAAAAAGCAGAATTGCACAAATATTCTAGAACCTATGGACATTCCATAGTCTTAAGAACACTTCTGAGGTGGATAAAGTATAGTTGAAAATACCTTAAAAAGTGTTTAAAGACTTGACTTTAATCATAGGATTTTCTTTTTTTCTCCGTATCCCATGTGTGGTATTAAGCCACATTATGTCTGATCCAGAATCATTTGGGGTGTGTCAATTTATCTCTGTGGATTGCCATGTGATAGATTTGACTCTTTGACAGTTATTTATTATCAAGTTGGTTGTATGATAGGTAAGCTGGTACCATTGCATTATACAGTTACCTTCCTTGCTCTTGAGAGATATGTTATTATATAAGCAATGTAAAAATACGTAAGAAAGAAATACAAATAGAATGAAAAACCCACTCTAATCTCAGCATGCAGAATTAACTACTGTGTTTCATTCATTCTATAAACTATTTACCTTTCCTTTCCTTTTAAACTTTATTAATGTTACTAAAAGTCAAAGAATATCTAAAAGTAATAAGAAATCATGTAATAACAATTTGAAGGTACATAGTTCCATAGTCATGTCCCCATGTTTATACTCTTGCAAAAGAAGAAAGTGGAAAAGTTTATGTTCCTAATCTATTATCAAACATAAATGGGCCTTCCACCAAAGTAAATTTAAATTGGACGAGAGGTAAATCATTATGAGAGGTTGGTTGTTTTTTTTTTTTTTTTTTTATTTGCGAGAGAGAGAATGAGAGACAGAGAGCATGAGAGGGAGGAGGGTCAGAGGGAGAAGCAGACTCCCTGCTGAGCAGGGAGCCCGATGCGGGACTCGATCCCGGGACTCCAGGATCATGACCTGAGCCGAAGGCAGTCACTTAACCAACTGAGCCACCCAGGCGCCCCTATGAGAGGTTGGTTTTAATGACATTTTTTTATATGCAAAGCAGATAACTATCATCATATTCTCATCCTCCGCAAGACATCCTTAAGTTACTGATATTTTCAAAGAAAAACAACAGGACTGATTTGATACTGGTGATGTATCTCTTAATACCAAAGGAAAACTAAAACATAAATTAAACCCAGCAAATTAAAGTTTCATTTTAACTTGAAGTTCTTAAGAACATTATAAAAGGCATTTATTTGTCTTGTATTGAATTGTTAGATCATCAAAAGTAATTCAAAGATTGATTAAGAAAAGAGTTTGAATATCTAATATAAACTTCAAATTTGCCATACAGCTTTTATTCCAAATGTGTTGATAAATTGGATATTTCTCAACTGTACCTAGTTTTTATAAAAAGCCATTAAACCAATAGAAACCAAAAAATCTAATTAAAGCTATTTTCTGGTCATTTGTAGTTTTAATTTCTCCTACAGTGGTAAATAAAACTGATGAACATTCACACAGTTTTTGGGTGGGGTGGTGGTGTAGGGAAGCAATGTGCTTGGGTTGACTATAATTAAAAACAGTATTTCAGCTCTCATTTCACTATTTTATGTGTAGACAGGGCCTTGGGATAAGGTGTGATGTAAATAATAATTTAGGATATTCACATTTTAAAGTGAAGCATACTCATTGCAAAGCATTTTCTAGGCTTAAGGATGTTACATAAGTTTGATTTTTAGGTTAATCTATATAGTCAAGGCATAGAGAATCCTATAGGTTATTTATTTTCTGCAGTGTTACTATGTCACATGGTTGATGTTCTTTTTCTATTCATCGTTCTAGTCAGTACACAACTCTTACACTGATTTTTAAAAGTAATTATGCTATAAAACCTTATAAATGTGTATTTGTATTTCTTAACTATTTCAGTCATCTAAATGTCATATTTCAAGTTTGTTTTCTATTGCTCTCAATATTAAGGAAAACCATAAAGTCATCTATTGTACATTTACTGTTAATAGTCTGATTAGTTTTAAATTCATTGTTTTTAGACACTTTTAAAAACTTTTAGTATGGGAACTTCATGTGAAGACCTTTTATACAATTCTTTACTATTCTTGTACTTAGTCATTTTAATGTTTTAGTATTTAAGGTTAAAGTTTCTTTGAAATATCTTGTCAAAAACTGGGTTATGATTTTATACATTGTAATATTTAATTTCCATATTATGAATAAGCCATTATTTGGGTCAAGTAAGCCTTCATTTGATTACTAACCTGAGAATTCACTTTGGCTTCTACTTTATGCCAAACTTGTAATAATTTTTTCCCTAAATTTGTGGAAGCTATTGGAACTCAATGCTGAATGCTAAGTAAAGGAGATTATAATAGGTAAGTTTTCTCCATGACTTTGCCTTTAGTATTTAGCCATTATAAGAAAATGATTAGAACAAAAATTCTATTTATATGTAATTCTTTGATATAGGGATTATCATTCTTCATTGTTAGTTTTACAATAAGCTATTAAACTAGTGTTTATGCTTTAAGTAATGCAATACAAAGTTTTATGCTTCAAGTAATGCAATACAAAGTAGAACACATTGAATAACGGATTACTTGAATGTATATGTAGTTTAGAAAAATTTGGATTGCTTTGAAAAGACCCAATTTTCAAGTTCTCATTTCGACTGTTATCTTTTCCAGTTGCCAAACATATTCCAATACCTACTGTATGCCAGATATTATGCTAGGTGATAGTTGATGTGGCAGCCTATTCTCCCCTCCCCCTTTTTTGACTTCAGATGTAACCAGAAAACATGATATAATGACGTTTCCTAAATAAATATGTTCATGCTACTAAATGTGAAGTGCTTATATGAACTAAGTTAAATAACTTGTTAGGATTTATTGAGGTTAAGATTCTGACAATACTAAATAGATACAAGATCTTTTTCATATTTGAGAGATCCTGTAAGCAGTTGTTGGCTGACACCTGAGAACCTCTCTTGAATGAGACATTCTGTGTTAAAACTATTCCCTAATGTAAAAAAATTGTTTGCCAGAATAAATTATTTAAGCCAAAAATCTGGATAGGTATAGCCAGTTAGTTAAAAGTCTACAGTAAATTAGGTTAACACTTTGAAGCCATAGTTTGATTCTTGCTGATTCTAGGAATTCATAACAAATTCCTCTCTCAGTCTCAGCCTTACAGGTTCTATTTGTCTACTGCCACTATTTTGTGGGATATATTTTTTTATACTTTTTGTCCACTTTCTGTGCACTCCTTGGTCAGAACAGTTTTTATCATTTCATATGTATATACTGTATATAAATGTTAAACATTGTCTTAATGTTTTGTATTAGTATGACTCAGTCTAAGGAAGAAGTCTGTGATAGAACTGAAATGGTTAGCTGATAGATTTGCATTTGAAAATGAAAGTACCCAAATGAACAAGATTGGGCTCTCAGATATTGGAAGATGATAAAGTGTATGTTTTACTTTCCATGAAGACAAACGATGAAGTAGAACTTTCCCCTAGGGCAGGAATTGTCATTTCTGTTTAATTACAGTACACTTAGATCATTGGTGATTCCTTCAAAATATTCCTTCAAAATAACACTTAAGAAAACAGTAAATACTGCCAACAGTAAATTTCTTAGTGATTATGCCAATTAGCTGTAAAAATGAGAGATGATGCAATTCTTAAAGGTAAAGAATGTAGGTTCATAACCTTTTATCAACCTATTTTTCCCACCCACCAGCCCCTGGCAGTCACTCTTGGTCTGTTTCCATGAATTTGGCGCCCCTTTTTTTTTTTTTTTAGATTCCACATATAGTTCATTTGATGTAGTGACAACTTTTCAGCTGTAAGATGAGTAAGGTCTGAGACCTAATATATAATATGGTGACTACAGTTGATAACTATTGTATAATTGAAATTTGCTGAGTAGATTTTAAATATTTTCACCTAAACGAAGATAAATATATGAGGTAATGGATGTGATAACTAGATAGGGGGAATCCTTTCGCAGTGTTATACTTCTATCAAATCATTAACGACGTAAACTTTACTTTCCAAATTTTGTCAGTTACACCTCGATAAAGTCGAAAAACTTTTTTACACAAAAGTAACTAAAATCAGTTATCAATAGCGCATACGTTTTGTCATCACATGGCTTCACACGTATATTAAAATACCAGCTCTGTCCACTAACCTCCCCCACCCGTTGTTATGTGATCTCGCAGTTACTTAAAAGGGAGGAGGATACCAATTTGCCATTTTGTACCTTCCTAGCTCCTGTGTTCATGTAGGCAAAACACCATAAAACTAAACCATTTTGCCTAACAGATGAGATTGAGAAATCTGCCAGAATTTAGAGCAATGCTCCAAAACTGCCTTGTTTCCCCGAAAAAAGGGGGCAAAGGGAGACCTCTACTGCACTTGGAAACGGAGAAATGAGCTAGCATTTAAACGCCTACTTTGTTCCTGGAGCTTCATTTACTTTAGTCCAGTGATCCTTAAACCCCTAGAGCATTCTCAACATATAAGAGATCTGAAAACGACCAATTTAGTATTTAATTACTAACACCACGACCAATTTAGTATTTAATTACTAACACCACGCTCCTCCCTAAAAGTTCGGTTTAAAGCAGCTACGATTTGAGAAGCTGTGGCTTCGTTAGGATAAAAATCCCTACTATTTCACAGCTGAAAGTAAACACCAGGTGTCCAGGTATTAACTCCCTGGGTCTGCCAAGTTTTGAAGAAAGCTGAAGGAGGCGGGATCCAGCCCGCAAGAGCCTCCCTCGGCCCCGCCCCTCCGGGCTTTGCTTCCGGGGCAGTCGGGGTGGCCACGTAATCCTCGGGCTGTGCTCGCCAACCGTGCAGTGGATGGTGGGAGTCAAGATGGCGGCGGCTGCAGGGGCCAGTATTCGAGAGAGACAAACCGGTACGATTTATTCCCTTCTCCCTGCGGTTTTACGCTTGCGGTGGAGACAGCCTCTTCCTCTGCTTGTCGCCCTTCCTCGTTCGCGGTGCGTGCAGCTCAGAGACGGCCCTCCAGAGGCTTAGTCCAGTTTCTAGAGCATTGAGAGCCCCTCCCCTTTTGAGTTTTTAGGGAAGATGCCAGTGGCTTGAGAACTCGGTCCCTCATATGTGGTTCAGGAGAATGGGCTTCAGGGTGGATAGTTAGCCACGGGCCTGCTCCTGTCTCTTTTCTACTGGGCGTCAGAAGGGCATCACAAGAAGATATGGTAGCTGGCATTTCCCCCCCTCTGTTGCCACCTATGAAGTCTCTGGGTTTGTTTCTGTGCGTGGTTCAGTTCTCTGCTAGTTTTAATGTTGAAGGAGTTTCGTTTTTGGCACTTCCTCCACAATTACAAAATTTAGGTATTCTTTCAGAGCAGCTTACGTTCTGCTATTTCTCTCCTTTGGACCAGTCTTTTGGGGGTATCTGAAGAGAAATGCCTAGTGATAAAGATTTCCTTCTTTAGCTTGCCGGAATGGAATTGAGGAATGGCAAAAAGCAAATGAATTAGTAGCTTTGTCATTTTAACCGTTTGACAGATTAGTATTTTAAAACTATTAGTTTCATCCTCGATAGAGCAGTTATAGCTTCCATTTGTACAGTGAAATCTGGTGGTTGTTTTTTTTAGGGTATATATTTCTTCCGTTGATCTTCGATATTTTTTCCATCTTAGAGACTTTGTTTTTCCTTATTTTTTGTAAACTTCTGATAAACATGGTTTATACCTGTTAGGTACAAACTAATGGTTTATGCCTGTTAGCTAATTGTCCTGAAAGTTGGCAAGCTGTTTGAGGAGCTAATAGAAACAACCCATCAAGAATATGCATATTTGGAAATTCTGTCACTTGTAATCATGTTCTGCATGTTAACTTGAAATGAATAATAAATGGTTACAATTAATATGGCTTACAGAAGGGATTTTGGTTGTGCTTGATTCCTTCTTTTAGAATTCAAAGAAAAAATTGATAGATTTCAATCTAGTAATGACACAGAGTGCATATGGAATTGTGTTCCTGCTTTTCCCATTAGGTAATTTAGTATAAGCTATCAGATAAAGTTAAGCATAATTTAAATAAGTAAGATTAGGGAAATACCTGCCGTACATTTTATCTGTAAGCAAATAGAAGCCCCACTTGCCTTTGCAGTATGGTTCTGATAGCTTAATGAAGCCCAATGAATTAGGTCATACTACATATTAAAATAAAACAACATATCAAGGAAGACTTAACCAATACAAAGGAGCTTTTCGAAAAATGAAATTTGTATGGTCATAATTTTTACATGCAGAAACTTTGTAGAATATTAAAATCTAATAGTATAATTTTGATTTCTGTGGAAATAAACTTCATTATAGTGAGATTTCACCTTATAACTAGATAGGTTATGCCACATTAATCATTTATCAAATTACTACTCTAGTTGAGTTCTTATTTTCAGAGAAAGGTAAAAGCCTATATATGTGCTATAGGAGCAGAAGTAAACATTTCCCTGATGACTGTTGAGAATGTTTTGGGAAGTAAATCAGAATGAATTCTCAAATATTCTAAGTACAGGACACTGTGATACAGAAGAATTTGCAATCTATTTGGGTAGATAATAGCTGATATTGAGCAGTTAATATTGCTCGGCACTGTTGTGATTTTACATGTATTATTGTCTCCATTTTGTAGATGAGGAAACTAAGGTATAGGGAGGGTAACTAGCATGCCTGTTTTTTGCTTTTCCTGCTTGAAGAATATTTATCTTTTAAAAGTCACCTCAAAAGTCATCTCGTTTGTGGAAGTTTCCTGGAACACTCCCCTCTCTATTCTTACCTTTAGTACAACAGGCAGAATCTTGTGTAACCGTAGCCTTTCACACGTGCCTCTCCATTGAGGGTTCTTGCTCAACATCCCCACTTCTCAGCATTGGGGAGCCACAGATCAACTGCTCTCTTATAGTGATTTCATGTAGCCTCTTGGCTTTAGGTACTATATATATGCTAATGATCTCCAAATTTATATCTCTGCCCTAGACCTTTCCTCTGAACTCTGTCTACCATATCAATTAATGGCCACTCCGTCCTTGTTGCTTAGATCAGAATGTCAGTTCCATCCTTGTAGTTAGTTCCTCAGGTCAAAAGCCTTTAAGGTTTCTTGACTTTTGTTTTTCATATCCCATATTAGATCTGTGAGTAAATCTTATCAGTTCTACTCTGAAAATATATCCACAATCTGATTATTGTCATTGCTATCACGCAGGTCCAAAACACCATGAATTTTTGCATTAACCTCTTATATAGTCTTCTTGCTTTTATATTCTTGTTCCTCTTCATTTTTCTTCATACAGTACCAAAGTGATCTTGCCACATATTTGCTCAGAACTCTCCAACAGCTTCCCGTTTCAATCATGGTAAAAGCCAAAAAAAATCTTACAATGGTCTACAAGGCCCTAAATGATCTGTTCTCCACTTAACTTTTTTGACTTCACTCCCCATTACTCTCCTCTTTCCTTGAACACACCAGAATGCTCCCACTACAGAGCCTTTTTATTTGTTACCTCTTTCTGGAATAGTGTTTCAGAGATAACTGGGTGTCTCACTCCTTCACCTCCCTTAGACCTTTACTCAGATGTTACCTTCTCAGGAGACCTTTGTTGGCTACCCTGCTTAAAATTACACTGCAACTCTCTCTTCCCTCTTTCCTTTGTTTTTCTTCATAGCACTTGTCATGATCTCACATGCTACATGTTTAACTTACTTTGTTGTCTTTTTCCCCAAACTAAAATGAAAGCTTCTGAGGATAGGTCATTTTTTTTTTCCATCTGTTGTGTTTAGTGCCAACAGCTGGAGCAGTGTCCAGCAGATGGTAAACAATCACTAAACATTTGTGGAATGAATAGTAAGTATAGTTGAATATATAGCGAATGAGTGAAGAAAATATTCCAGGTTAGGGTGAAACTACATTAACCAAGCCTAGAACTGTGGATGGTATATTTAGGGTCAGTAAAGAAAACTAGTTTGCTATTTCAGTTAAAAGCAATGATTTAAGCCTTTAGGGAGTTACTCTGATGAAAGTAAAATTATATTCTTACACATTCTTTAAACATAGACCCTGTACTTTATTAAATCAAATCCAATGTGTCAAAATCTCTGTTAACAAGTTAGCCAAGGGTCAGAGTTGAGGAAACTTAACCTAGATGGGACTGAGAAGGCAAATGGAATATCTGCTAAAACACCTTTTTTTCAGTAAGATAAGGCCTAGCTCTAGAGAACTCCTGGGACTCACATGCAAGCCAGGCTGTGTTGTTTTCCTAGTTGTCCTGTTTCAAGAATATGAATAGCTGTTCCCAGAAACAAGATTTTCTCTCTCTTAGGCCATGGGTGCCAGGGTGGTGATGTCTATATTACCTGGAAGTGGGAGGAAGAATTCATTAAAGCTCAGTGGGAGAGTTAATTCTGCAGCACCCTCTATGCCTTCTATGTTATTTCAGTTTTAAATACAAAAGTGGTTTTTTTTGTGTGTTTATGTGTGTTTTTATATAATATCATAATATCTGTAAGCTTTTGAAGCAGCTGTAAATTATTGGCAGTGTGTATTATTGGCTAGGCATTAGCTACTAACATTTTACCAAAAAGTCATGTCTGTATGTACACTGATAGTACTTTACCTACCTAAAGAAGTAAGTACTTAATAGAAGTTTTTCTAGTGAATGAATCAGTCTACTATAAATTGATAACACTGGTGATTTGAATATTATATGATAAATTATATATGCTATATATAGTATACAGTATGTAGTATTATAGAGGTAGGAGTTTGACTTGTAGATTAATATTAATAAAGTCTAATACAAATGCTTTTAAAAATCAGCCAGGTAGATTTCAGGGCTGACAATCTTAAAAATTAAATTATCTAACTAATACCCTTCCTTCAATATTGGCATTCTCAACTTCACATAAAAGTATATTGAGATTTTTATTTTCCTTAGGAAATGTTTCTGAGTCTGTTATCACACATAAAGATGAGCAATAAAAACCTCAAAGTACAATAACATATAGAACATAACTGCTTTGATTTTAGAAATTGTGTATTTTCAAGGTCCTGAAATGTGGGCTGCAGCAGGTCAGTGGCCACGGTGGTGTCGTGGCTATCTATGGGGTTTTTTCAGGGCAAATGATGTGAGGGTTGGTACCTTAGTGGGGGAAGACAAATATGGTAACAAATACTATGAAGACAACAAGCAGTTTTTTGGCCGTCACCGATGGGTTATATATACTACTGAAATGAATGGCAAAAACACATTTTGGGATGTGGATGGTGCCCCCTGAATGGCTGTAGGCAGACCTCCAAGATTTGCGTCTGCGATCACTCCTGTGGGCCCCTCCACAAGGCCATCTCTGGATGTGGCTTCCTGAGAGCAAGTAAAGAGATCACCTGAGATGGAAGCCACAGCCTTCTGTGTGCGTCATTGGTTTCACTGTATGACCGATGATCCTCCAACAACAAAACCACCTAGTACTCATAAATTCATCTGGACAAACCATAAGTTCAATGTGAGTGGCACTCCAGAACAATATGTACCTTATTCTACCACTAGAAAGAAGATTCAAGAGTGGGTCCCACCTTCAACACCTTGCAAGTAAAGACATTGGAAAACAGTTTGAACATGTGAAATATGGGGCTCTTCATGCAATTGCACTTTTACTGCTTACTATTCATTTGATTAAAATTGTTTGATTAAGAAAAAAAAGAAATTGTGTATTTTCTTAGCGGGAGTTATCTACTATATCTATGGGAAAGTCTCACTTTTTCCATGGAGCATATAATATTAAACCAATACAACTTTTCTGTGAATCTAATGAGATAAATTGGTCATAAAATGTACTGCAAGATAACTGCAACATAGACCTGCTGTATGAAGGTTTTGTATATGAACCACTTAAATATATCATACATAATTTTTGTTTTTCAAGTGATTCTTATCTGTGCTTTCAGCCCACCAGTAAATAGACAACAGCTCCAGTTGTCTATTGAGACCCCTGCAAGTTTGCAGTTGATAAAACTTCTTTTTCATCTTTATAAAATGTAGTGTGGGGAAATATCTGTTCATGTCTTCTGCCCATTTTTTAACTGGATTATTTGTTTTTGGTTGTTGAGTTATATAAGTTATTAAGATATTTTAGATGCTAACCCTTTATCATTGGCAACAACATGGATGGAGCTAGACAGTATAATGCTAAGTGAAATAAGTCAGTCAGCAAAAGATAAATACCATATGATTTCACTCATATGTAGAATTTAAGAAACAAAACGAGCAAAGGAAAAAGAAGAGACAAACTAGGAAGCTGACTCTTAACTAGAGAGAACAAACTAACAGTTATCAGAGGGGAGGTGGGGGTGGGTGGGTGAAATAGGTGATGAGGATTAAAGAGTGTACACTTACCATGATGAGCACTGAGTGATGTATAAAGTTGCTGAATTACTATATTGTACACCTGCAACTAATATAACACTATGTTAACTATACTGGAATTAAAATTTTTTAAAAAACTTAAAAAAACATAGTGTGGGATTGTCATGAGAAACAAGAAAGGCTTCTTCCTGAACATTTTTCACATTTTCATCTGGCAACAGAAAAATCTCCCCAACACTTGCCAATTAACTGTTGATGAAATGGTCTTACAAAGTCTTATCCTGCTTCTGCATATCCAGTCATTTGATTAATCAGTTTTACTGGAATGATTTGTGCATTTTGTTTTGAGGTGGTGAGTAATAAATGCGGGGGGCATGGAATGAAATCCTGAAAAATAATGATAATATTTAATAAGACTGTTTTCATTTCCAGTGGCTTTGAAGCGTATGTTGAATTTCAATGTGCCTCATGTTAAAAATAGCACTGGAGAACCAGTATGGAAGGTAAGAGACTTTATTTTAATGGGGACTATTTCCTTTTTCTTGGCTCTTCAGGAGGAAATTTCTTGTTAATGCTGAACAGTAGCACATTTTAGTTGTAATGTATTTTTATTAAACATGGTTTCTTTTTTTTTTGAGAGAGAGAGAGAGCGTGCACATGTGAGCAAGCGGTGGGGGGAGGAGGTGGGGCAGAGGGAGAGAGAGAATCTTAAGCAGGCTCCACGGTCAGTGAGGAGCCCAACATAGGACTCTATTTCACAACCCTGAGATCATGACCTGAGTCGGATGCTCAACCAAGCTGAGCCACCCAGGAGCCTCTTAATGTGAATCTTTTTAATAAACACTTTATGGAGGGAGACAAGGATGGTAATATTCATCTAGGGAATCCAGCTGATCTCTTGGCTCTCACTAGTAGGTCTTTAGTCTGGTTGATATTTTGTTCCTTAGCTTTGCAAGTCCTGAATTTGGATCTTGCAAGCTTGTTCAAGGTTAGTCAGATTCAGGGGGACTGGTCCATTTTAACCAACTCATGAGAGAGTGATCTATAAACTAGAATGCCAGCTTATTAGTTTATGATCTATAAAACTGTCAGGGAAACTGTTAATTGGACTAGAAAGCAATCTATAATCTTTCTCCTTTGAGAAATGCTGGAGAACCTTTAAAAATTCCTGTCCTTTGAGCTTCTTCATTCTAAACTTCCTACTTTCTTTCTTCGAAGAGATTAGAATACAGCTGATTAGGTTTAAACTTATTAGTTTATAGTCACTTTATACTTCTTTTTTTTACTAATAATTGAGAACAGATCAACCTGATTACTATTATGGATGTTTCAAAAACTCTGATGAGTCCTTTTAATTCCTTTGGGTTAACTCTAAAGGTGGTTAAAGTCATCTATTTTGAATTTATAAGTTAAGCTTCAGAGTATCCCCTAATTTTTACCTTCTTCATGTTTATTTGTGGGCATCCTCTTAATTGCCCCTTGCATAAGCAATGCTCATTTATTGTTTCTAAAGCCTGTATTAAGCTTTTGAATTAAATAGCTTGAGAATTTCTTGGGTACAGATTTGTGTCAAATTTTCTCTTTTCCCATTCTTCTATACAAGATTAATAATACAAATATACGGAGTTTTATTTATTTATTTATTTATTTTTAAGATTTTATTTATTTATTCATGAGAGACAGAGAAAGAGAGGTAGAGGGAGAAGCAGGCTCCCAAAGAGCAGGGAGCCTGATACGGGACTCGATCCCAGGACCCTGGGATCATGACCTGAGCCGAAGGCAGATGCTTAACCATCTGAGCCACCCAGGCGCCCTATACGGAGTTTTAAAGAGGGAAGACTTTTGAGAGATGAAACATCCAACTTCTTATAACTAGAGCAGAAGAGTCTTAGCTTTTCGTTTCTTTTTTTAAGATATTTTTTTATTTATTCATTTAAGAGAGAGAGAGGCAGAGGGAGAGGGAGAAGCAGACTCCCTGCTGAGCTGGGAGCCAGATGTGGGGCTCGATCCCAGGACCTGGAGATCAGGACCTGAGCCGAAAGCAGATGCTTAACCATCTGAGCCACCCAGGCGCCCTTAAAGATTTTATTTTTAAGTAATCTCTACACCCAGTGTGGGGCTCAAACTCATGACCCCAAGGTCAAGAGTGGCAAGTTCCTCTGACTAGGCCGGCCAGATGCCTCCAGTTTTAGCTTTTCTAAAGGAAATGCTGGCATATAGCAAAAGCATTTTTTTATGACAGCATGTTTCATCCTCTCATTAGCAATTTCTTACTCCATAAAGAATTACTGAGGTAGTTATGAAGAAACACTAATTGAAGTTTCTCTTTTATTTGCTTTAACTCTAAAGCTAATTTTGAGTTAGAAGACTCAGAGTTCTTACTACCCCTCAAAGATGTCAGTTTTAATATTTTAGAATGTGGAAAAATGTATGACAATAAGGCTAGCAAGTACTCTTGAGGGACTTAATTTTTTAAATGAGTATATTATTAACCTGAGATGCTAAATTACCAAATTTTCTTTATACTTGTTACACATTAGTTTTGAGAGGGACTAATTTTTACTTCTCTCTTTTTAGAAAAGATATGTGCTAACTCTGTGGGGAAGCGTATGTGAGTTTGTTGTATGTTCAGAGTCCTTTATTATTAGTTTTGGATGCATATTTTATAGTTTCTAGTATACTTTTTTATCCTAGGAAAAATACTTTAGGAGAATAAATTTATGTAATATTATTTCAGCCTTAAGTGAGCATGCTTTAAAAAATAGATTAGGACATGAATGTACATTTTAGTAAAAGATGGAAAATATTAAATTGAGGTAAGTAAAAGAATTCAGCATACATGATTTATTAAAATAAAATATACTTCAGCATTGTCTTAATATGAGTTCTTCATCGACTGTTCACTGATATTCAAAAACACTTTTTTTTTTTTTTAATTTTAACTAGGTGCTCATTTATGACAGATTTGGCCAAGATATCATCTCTCCACTGCTGTCTGTGAAAGAGCTGAGAGACATGGGAATCACTCTGCATCTGTGAGTTCTAACGTATTTCTAATAATGACATTTGTTTTCAGATACTTTGTTAAAGGATGTATTTGGCCACCTTGAAATCAAATTATTAAGGGACATTTATAGAGAAAATAATACTAGCTACAGTACTTGTATAAAACAATGTTTTTTTCTCTTATCTCCTTTTATCTGTTTACTTCTGAAGTTAAAAATAATTCTCAATCTGAGACTTTATAATTTCAGAATTTAAATTTTCTCTCTTGTGTCTTTTCATACAGACTGGTTTACCCTCTCATGTGAATAAAAGAACTGGTTCTGTTAAGGTCTCTTCCATCTCTGAAAATTTTTATTTCTTCAATTTAAATATACTTTTTAAAAATAATATCTAAATTAGTTTATCATTAATATGAAAAATATAAGTATCTATGAAATAATCACTATTAATCACCATAGGACCTATCTATGTTGTCTTCTTAACTACTGACTGTATTTGATTTTATTACTTCTGATATGTTTGATAAATAAAACAAATTGCATTGCTTTTTAGACTTGGCTGAATAGAACATTTAGAGAAGGGCTATACTCATGTATACATACTAATACTTTTATGTACTGAAGGAATCCAAGATATTCTAACCTATTTGCATTTTGTTCTATTTATGGTGTTATAACCAGTTCTCATTCTATTATGTTATGATATATTGGATTGAAATGTGCTCTTTTAGTGGGAATGTGGTTTTAGATTTCCAGTCAGTAACATATCAGAATGTGGTTAAATTCTTAAATTCTACAATTTTATGTTGAGCATTTGTTTTAAATTAATAGAATATTGTATTGCATTAATTCTAAAATATATTTTTCACTTTTTTTATATTTCTGAAATTAGGATCTGTCTTCTAATTAATGCTATGTCATGGTTAAATTGGCAGCATTTTTCTGTCAATTTTAACAGAAATTATTATTTTTTTAAAGATTTTATTTATTTATTTGACAGAGAGACACAGCGAGAGAGGGAACACAAGCAGGGGGAGTGGGAGAGGGAGAAGCAGGCCCCCCGCTGAGCAGGGAGCCCGATGCGGGGCTCGATCCCAGCACCCTGGGATCATGACCTGAGCTGAAGGCAGACACTTAACGACTGAGCCACCCAGGCACCCCTTAACAGAAATTATTTTAATAATACGTTTTAAAATTGATAGCACCTTAGGTTTGATGAAATATGGAATACAGATTTTCCTTTCATTTTTATTTCAGACTTAAAATAAAAATTTGTTAATAATAATAATTACTAAGTTTCCAGAAGATGAAATGGTGGTTGTAGCCCTTTAGGCAATTGGACAGCCAGCATTAGAAGATAACAAACAATGGCTGCGATAACGGTGTAATTTTTCTGGTGTCCGTAGCAGCAGCCAAACAGATGGAAGGAAGTCATGAAATGCCTCTTTCACTCTCTTCCTTAGAGAGAGGTGACTACAGTAGAGAAGCATGTATAGGAAGACTGCATATAGAAGATTGTTCATAGGATGACTAGACTATTGTACAAAGAGCATGTTGTCATATTTCCTGATACAAGGATAGCAGAATCTTACAGTGAAGAATAGAGACATTTTGTTATTTGATATTGGGATATTTGAATCAAGATACTCCCTGAATTATAGGAGAAAACTATCAGGTGGTATAATCTATGAAATGCTTAGATCTTTTGTTCACTCTCTTATCATGCAATAAATATAAAAAAATAGACTGTTTTAAAGTTTTAAGGAAGCATTCATATATCTTTCATTTAAAAAATATATTTGATTTTATTTATGGTTAAAATTTTTCATTATTATATTTTTAATGATTTTTTTAAAGATTTTATTTATTTATTTGACAGAGAGAGACACAGTGAGAGAGGGAACACAAGTAGGGGGAGTGGAAGAGGGAGAAGCAGACTCCCCACTGAGCAGGGAGCCCGATGTGGGGCTCGATCCCAGGACTCCGGGATCATGACCTAAGCCGAAGGCAGACCCTTTAACCAACTGAGCCACCCAGGCGCCCCAAAATTTTTCATTATTTTTAAAGACTCTTCCAGCTTTCTTTTTACCCTCTTACAGAACTGCACTCCCCAACCATATTTCTATGAAAACTGGAAATAAAATTGATATTGAATGTGCTTTAGTTCTTCAGGAAGAACATTGGTATTAGAAATAAGGTGACTGTAGTAGAAGAGATGAAGACTGACATTAGGATCTTACTAATAAATAATATTAGCAATGATACAAGGAAAAAGCTGGTTAATGATTAATTTCAGCAAGCACTTTTAGTATACTGGTTCTTGTCCCTGAACTGGTTAATTCCTAGTTTGAGAAATACTGTTCTAAACTATATTTGTAGATAAGTGACTAAGAAAAAAATGAATTTTATGTTCTTTATGTCTTTTAGGCTTTTGCACTCTGATCGAGATCCTATACCAGATGTTCCTGCAGTGTACTTTGTAATGCCAACTGAAGAAAATATTGACAGAATGTGCCAGGTAATATGGGTTCTTAATTTCCTGACCCTATAATGTGGAAACAGGTTTTTTTCCAAAAAATTTCTTAGATTTCAGGATGCCTGGGTGGCTCAGTCAGTTAAGCGCTTGCCTTCGGCTCAGGTCATAATCCCAGAGTCCTGGGATCGAGTCCTGCATTGGGCTCCTTGCTCAGCAAGGAGCCTACTTCTCCCTTTGCCTGCTTCTCCCCCTGCCTGCCGCTCCCCCTGCTATGCACCCTCGCTCTCTCTCTAACAAACAAACAAACAAATAAATAAAAATCTTTTTTTTTTTTTTTTTAAAGATTTTATTTATTTGACAGAGAGAGAGAGAGCACAAGTAGGCAGAACAGCAGGGAGAGGGAGAGGGAGAGGGAGAGGAAGAAGCAAGCTCTCCACTGAGCAGGGAGCCTGACGTGGGGCTCGATCCCAGGACCCTGGGATCATGACCTGAGCCGAAGGCAGCCGCTTAACCAACTGAGCCACCCAGGCGCCCCAATAAAAATCTTTAAAAAAAAAATTTCTTAGGGGGCGCCTGGATGGCTCAGTTGGTTGAACAGCTGCCTTCAGCTCAGGGCATGGTCCCAGGATCCTGGGATCGAGCCCCATGTGGGCTCTCTGCTCTGCTCAGTGGGGAGCTACTCTCCCTCTCCCTCTCCTGCTCCCCCTGCTTGTGTTCTGTCTCTGTATCAAATAAATAAAAACTAAAAATTTCTTAGATTTCCAGTGTGAAAAATCAGAAGTTGTCTTACCCAATTTCCCACTTTAATTTTTGAGACTATCTTTGAATTTTAAAGAGACTGAAAGATTTAAATTTTTTGGCTGAAGAAGCATATTGATTAGGACTTAACCTGGCTTTAAAAACCAGAAAATCTAACTATATGTATCTTTTTTTTAAAGATTTTATTTATTTATTTGAGAGAGAGAGAGATAGTGAGAGAGAGCACAAGCAGCAAAGAAGGGCAGAGGGAGAAGGAGAAGCAGGCTCCCTGCTGAGCAGGGAGCCCCATAAAGTGCTCGATCCCAGGACCTTGGGATCATGACCTGAGCTGAAAGCAAATGCTTAACCAACTGAGCCACCCAAGCACCCCAGAAAATCTAACTATATTAACTTTAAAAATAGGGTTGTATTTTTCTAAGATAATAGGAAGTCTGGGAGTAGGAAGTCCAAGCTGGTATAATAGTTTTATAAAGTAGTCAAAGACTCCGGCTCCTTCAGTCTTTCCAATCTGTTGTCTTTGGTTTCTCCTTTTAAATGTCTTGATTGTTGCTTCCTGGATGTTATGTGGCAGCTGAGGCTGATATCACATCTATGTTCAAAGTAAGAAGGGGGAAATAAATTATGCCAGTCCTAACTGTTCGTTTTGATCAGAAAAGCTAAGATTTCCCAGAAATGCCCAGAAGACTCTAATTTATTTATGTTTCACTGGATAGAATTAACTTCAAAGGAGGGTGCAAAAGTTAATACTTAAATGAGTGTATTGTCCCCAAACAAAATCTGGATTCTTACAGCAAGGAAGAGGGGGAAAATGGATATTAGATAAGTAGCTAACAGTGTCTGCTAGCATCTTGTTGCTGACTATTGAATCAAATTACTACAGTTGACCCTTGAACAACACAGGTTTGAACTACACAGGTCCACTTACAGGCGGGTTTTTTGCAGTACAGTATCGTAAATGTATTTTCTCTCCCTTATGATTTTTTTAATCTTTTCTCTAGCTTACACTATTATAAGAATACAGTATATAATATATATAACATACAAAATATGTGTTAATTGACTATGTTTCAGTAAGGCTTCTGGTCAACAGTAGACTATTAGTTATTTCTTGGGGAATCAGAAGTTACACGTGAATTTTCAACTGTGCAAGATGTCAGCACCCCAACCCCCGTGTTGTTCCAGGGTCAACTGTATTTAAATTGTTAACGAAGGTCACATATTTTGTGTCCTATGTAGCTGATGATGCCCAGCTTTCTCTTTTATCTTGCATAAACCTGACTGTGCCATTTTTTAAAGAGATAGGATTTATCAGTCCCTTCCACTTTTTGGCTATTATGAATAATGCTACTATAAACATATTTGTACACATTTCTGTGTATGTATGTGTTTTTATTTTTCTTATGTCCATTAACACCTAGGAATAGAATTGCTGGGTCAAATAACTCTATAGTTAACTTTTTTTTTTTAAGGCGGGAGACAAAATTTTATATAGAATATTACTTTCATTTTGTTGTTTATGTAGCATTTGAAGAATACACACAATTTTTTTTTCAAGATTTTTATTTTTTTGACAGAGAGAGACACAGAGAGGGAACACAAGCAGGGAGAGTGGGAAAGGGAGAAGCAGGCTTCCCACGGAGCAAGGAGTCTGATGCAGGGCTTGATCCCAGGACCCTGGGATCATGTCCTAAGCCGAAGGCAGATGCTTAACGACTGAGCCACCAGGTGCCCCCCACACACAAATATTTTTATGGATATACATTTGTATGGTTTACCTTTTGAGAAACTGCTAGACTGTTTTCCAAAGTGGTTGCATCATTTTATATTCTTTCCAGCAGTCTATGAGTCTCCCAGTTTCTCCAGATCCTTGTCAGTACTTTTTATTATCTGACATTTTGATTATAGCCATCCTGAAGTGTTATCTCATTGTGGTTTTGATTTGCATTTTCCTGGTGACTGATGATATTATATGCATCTCTTAATGTGCTTATTGGCCATTTGTACATCTTTGGAGAAATGTCTATTCAGATTCCCTTGTCCAGTATTTAACTGGGTTGTTCTTTCAATGTTGAGTTGTTAGAGTACTTTCTATATTTTGGATGCTAGACCCTTATCAAGTATATCATTTGGAAATGTTTTTGCCTATTCTGTGGGTTGTCTTTTCATTCTTGATGGTATCCTTTGGAGCACAAAAATTTTTAATTTTGATTTTAAACTTAGTTTTAAGTTGATTTTTTCTTTAGTTGCTTGTGCTTTTGGTGTTGTATTTAAGAAACCATGGCCAAATCTCCATGTTTTCTTCAAAGATTTTTATGCTTTTGGCTCTTTACATTTAGATCTTTGATCCATTTTGAGTTAGTTTTTATGTATAGTATGAGCGAGATGTCCAACTTCATTCTTTTGCATGTGGCTATCCTGTTGTCCCAGCATCATTTATTGAAGAGATTATTCTTTCTCCCATGAATGGTTTTGGCAATTTTATTGAAAATTAATTAACAGTAGATACATTGGTTTATTTCTGGACTCTCAGTTCTATTCCACTGATCTCTATGTCTGTCCCATGCCAATACCACACTGTCTTTACTACTCTTGCTCTGTAGCAAGGTTTGAAATTGGGAAATTTATTCCTCCACCTTTACACTTTGTTTTCCAGATTGTTTTGGCTTTCCTAGGTCCCTTGAATTTTATATTAATTTTAGGATTAGGTTGTGAATTTCTGTAGGAAGCTACCTGGAGCTTGCATCTCATAGGGATTGCATTGAATCTGTAGATCAGTTTGGGGAGAACATTGTCATCTTTACAGTATTAAATTTTCTGATCCGTGAACATGGAATATCGTTTCATTTGTTTAGATCTTCTTTAATTTCTCTCAATAATGTCTTGTAGTGTGCAAATAAAAGTTTTACATTTCTTTTGTTAAGTATATTCCCTCATATTTTTTTAATGCTATTGTGAATGGGATTGTTTTCTTAATTCTGTTTTTTGGATTGCTTATTGCAAATCTATAGATGCACAATTGACTTTTATATGTCGATCTTATATCCTGCAACCTTGTTCAATTTCTGTGTCCTTTTGCAATGTCTCCATCATTCTTGGACCACTTCCTTATTTTTAGGCACAATAAGATTATTCAGTCTCATCTCATACTTTCTCTGTTCTAGCCCAAGATTCAGCCATTTGTCTAAGAAGCCCTGGTTGTTTTTTGTAGAGAATGGTATTTAGAAGTCAGCAACTGGGAATAAGGCGTAGGCATTGCTATGAGGGTGTTAGAGTTCTTAGGACATCTCAATGGACAGAACTAGGAAATATATGTATGTATATATATGCGCACTTTATATTTAACTCTAGAAATCTTCCTTATCTCTCTAGATAAAAAGACAGATAGGTAATATCTAAAACTGTTTCATTTCAGAAATACAGGATTCATCCTAGTTTTTTCTTTTTCCCTTTGCAAATCTATAACTCCTTTTTATGACCATGAGAAACATAACTCCCAATATCTTCCACATACTGACTTATTTTCTCATTCCCCTTAATTCTCAGTCCTTCATCCTTTAATCAGTCCCGCAACCTTTGTTTAACCACTGCCCTGCTCAGCAGCCTTCCTCATACAGGCTCCGAACCCTCTGTTTTTCACGCTTAAACATCTCTGATACCAGATGCATCTTAAAATTGATGGTGTGTTATAGAATTTTATTGGCAGCATTAATTCTTTCTTGGTGGTACATAATGGTGCTTCTTTCGATGGACAGTATCTTAGGTTCAAACAAATACAAGCATACGTTGTTCTATTGTGCTTCACAGATACTGCACTTCTTAGAAATTGAAGGTTTGTAGCAACCCTGCATCAAACAAGTCTGTCAGTGTTTTTCCAACAGCATTTGCTCACTTCATGTTTCTTTGTCATATTTTGGTAATTATCACACTGTTTCAAACTTTTCATTATTATTATATTTGTTACGGTGATCTGTGATCAGTAATAATTTGCTGAAAGCTTGGATGATGGTTAGCATTTTTTAGCAATAGATTTTTTTTTTTTTTAAAGATTTTATTTATTTATTTGAGAGAGAGAGAATGAGAGAGAGCGAGTACATGAGAGGAGGGAGGGTCAGAGGGAGAAGCAGACTCCCTGCCTAGCAGGGAGCCGGATGCGGGACTCGATCCCGGGACTCCAGGATCATGACCTGAGCTGAAGGCAGTCGCTTAACCAACTGAGCCACCCAGGTGCCCAGCAATAGATATTTTTTAAGTAAGGTATATACTCTTTTTTTTTTTGGACATAATGCTATTGCACACTTAATAGACTACAGTATCATATGAACATAATTTTCATAGGCACTGGGAAACCAAAAAATAATTTTGACTCAGTCTGTTACAATGTTTTCTTCATTGTGGTGGTTTGAAACTGAACCCGCAACATATACAAGGTGTGCCTGTATGGTTATTTAGATACCTATTTGCCTAGAGTTTAAAAACATAAGTAAATTTGATTTAAGAATTTGCATAACTTTAAATTATACTACTTTTGGATGTTTGAGAAGTAATACTTATAGAATTGGTCATTGGAATTATGTCTGAACAGCAAAGGAAATATGTTGCATTACCACATGACCAGAGCAGTAGAAGATAGTATCTGCAAAATATAATAAGCATTTTACTATATGAGAGCCATTTCTGGATATTTTTAAGAAAAATGCAGATACACTGTTTCAAGCAGTTTTATGTGATATTGTAATTAAAATAGAATTTTATTGATAATATTATAACTTTATTAATATATAGGTCCATTATATCTGGCAACCAAATAACCAGTACTTCTTCATGACTTTTTTCTCTTGGGATTTTTTTTTTTATTGTCATTTATATAATGACAAAATCTTGCTCCTGTAGTTATCTAAAAGATTTTTATTTGTGGTCATCCTTTATACTTGCTCATAAGAATGAAGTATTCATTGTATTTCTAGGATCTGCGAAATCAACTCTATGAATCATATTATTTAAATTTTATTTCTGCTATTTCAAGAAGTAAACTGGAAGATATTGCAAATGCAGCATTAGCAGCCAGTGCAGTAACACAAGTAGCCAAGGTAAGAGATTTTGGTTGGCTGATGACATTTTGTTAATGCAAAATTTAGTATATTCTGAAACCTGTTAATTGACTTAGGTGCCTAATTTACAGAGGACCGAATCAACCTAAGAAATAATTAGACTCATTACTTTTAGAAAGAGTTCTGATAATGCAAATTATCTACAGTTTGAACTAGGCAAAATAAACCAAACTAAAGGTACCTATAATTCAATGAATTTGAAAGATAAAAATAAAATGCGGAAATCTGTCTTTGTTTTAGGCTAGGATTTGTAATCTTTTGAGCTTGACTTAGAAATAGTTTGACAGTTGTGTTGTTATAAATTATACTAAAAATATATTGACATTATTTATTTATAATCACTATAGTCACCATGCTATCTTCAGATCTACTTAGAAGAGAGAATCCAAAGAAGTTATATTGCGTATTATAAGAAAGAAGGAACTTAGGACAGGCCGGCCATTCTACATCACAGTTACTTTTTAGATAGGTTCAGCTTAGTTATAAATAAATCTGTAAATGTATTCTTGGTTATAGCCCTACTGTGCCCTGTGCTTCTTGAATTTGGACAAGACATGAAATTCTAAGAAATTATATAGGACAAATAAAAGCCTAAACAACTATGTATTTACTTCCCATTTTTTCCCACTGGTTAGATTTAGATAGTCTACTAACTACTACTGATTAGTTTTTGAGGCCTGTGTCTTAATGTTCTTCTTTTCAAAGTTTATCATTAATTTTAAATAAAATAATATTTCAAAGAGTTTTCTTAATTTTTCCCCTGATTTGCACTTCTGAAGAACTAGTATAACTTCTTTATAAGTGTTCAAGGTGGAAAAATAGTTACTATGACTTTCTTAGGAAAATGTTGTTAACATGAATGTGAAATTGTGATTTTTTTTCTTCAGAACTAATATAAATTCCGATCCCCACCAGTCTTTAAACAAATTTTTATATCTATATCTATATTTTTGTATCTTCTTAAATTTTGTTTTCTGAAAATATTACTGCCCTCCTTATTTACATTCCTTTTTGATACTAACTCCTCATTCTTACTCAGGGAGACAGTCTGATACAATAGTGTAATTTCTAGGGCGCCTGGGTGGCTCAGTTGGTTAAGCGACTGCCTTCGGCTCAGGTCATGATCCTGGAGTCCCGGGATCGAGTCCCGCATCGGGCTCCCTGCTCGGCAGGGAGTCTGCTTCTCCCTCTGACCCTCCTCCCTCTCATGCTCTCTGTCTCTCATTCTCTCTCTCTCAAATAAATAAATAAAATCTTTAAAAAAAAAAATAGTATAATTTCTAGTTATTGAATATAGTTATAATTTTTTCCATTTTTACCATTGGTTGATTAAATCAAACAAAGTGTGCTTTCAGTATTGTAAAATTGGGGTACCTGGGTGGCTCAGTAGGTAGAGCATGTGACCCTTGGACCCAGGGTCATAAGTTCAAGCCCTACAGTGGGCATGGAGTCTACTTAAAAAAATATGTTGTAAAATTGATTTCTAAACCTTTTCTTTTGTTTCTAGGTTTTTGATCAGTATCTCAATTTTATTACTTTGGAAGATGATATGTTTGTATTATGTAATCAAAATAAGGAGCTTGTTTCATATCGTGGTATGTAAAAACAGGAATATTATAATTCGTCGTTAACAAAATGAGTGATGTACCGTAAACAAAAATAGCATATTTGGTACAATCAAAAGCCAGCTTTGATTACAGCAGTAGAACTCTAAAAGAGTTCTTAAAGCACACCCAAGAAAGTAAGTCTCAGACTGAATTCTGTCACTTGTAAGCAACATGTAATAAAGTTGTTTTGTAAGCTCAGTGAAGTGCCAATTCTCTTACCTTTTAGGTGCCACATAGCAGCTTGCGTGAATGGTTCATTCATGGCAAATAAGACAGTATTTTAGTAGTAGGATTCAGTGTATCTTCTAGGACTTTGACTCTTGGACAAGATCAACTTACTCTGCTTCTCTGTGCTTTAGTTTCCTTATCTGTAAAGTGGGGGTAATAATACTATCTACCTCACAGAGTTTTTGTGGAAATTAAATGAATTAGTATGTGTAAAATGCCTAGAAAGGTTCCTGGCACATAATAAGGACTCAGAAAAGGTTGGCTAATACTGCTATTTGTCAACAGTTATTATAGCACTATTATGGAATGAAGTGTAGGTGCCTTTCTCAAATACAGGTTGTTAGACTCCCTTGATTCTTATACCCTGTTCATGCACTAGTGGATTGAATATTGGTATTTGATCAAATGCTGTCTAACCACCTCTGGAGTTTGTATTCAAAATTTTGGTAAACTGACCATTCCTGGATGTAGATTAAAACTAGTACACACACACACACCACACACACACACACACCACCCAAGCCCCATTTTATTATCTATGTTGCTTTTTTTTTTTGCAAAACACTTTTATTTGTCCCTTAATCTTTTTAAGTGTACAATACAGTATTGTTGACTTTAGTGTTTAGAGCAGATCTCTAAAAGTTACTCATCTTGCTTAACTGAAATGTTATGTCCACTGATGATTTCAGATATTTTAAAGAAAAATACAGGCTGTAGTAGATATGATTAGCCAGTTCATTCAAATAATCATTAATTTGCTGCTTAAGGATTGAGATGTTTGGGGCTGACTAGAATTTCATTGGTTCCTAAGTGGAGAGTATGGCCCCCTAAGGGGGCATTTGGAAATGTGTAAGGATATTTTTGATTGTCACGTTAAGTTGGGCTGCTACTAGCATTCAGTGAGCAGGGACTAGGGATGCTAGATGTTCTGCAGTGTGTAAACCATACTCATAACAGAAAATTGTTCTGCCCAAAATGCCAGTGGTACCCTATTAGGAAATATTGGACCAGATATTAAAGTCCCTGAGAGAAGGGAACATCAGTTTTTGACTTTCTTGAGCTCCATAACATGCTGTCTTTTAGAAATTAAACAACATCCCTAAAGGGGTGTAAGCATTTGCTGAATTGCCCATGTCAGAGATTTTTGACAATAGTTGTTATTTACAGAAGTCTATTTACAATTAATTGAGTTTTAATTAACTAGCTACTTAAGTATTTAAGTTACATGTTTAAAACCTAGTTTTCCGGGGCACCTGGGTGGCTCAGATGGTTAAGTGTCTGCCTTCAGCTCAGGTCATGATCCCAGGGCCCTGGGATCGAGCCCCGCGTCGGGCTCCCTGCTCAGCGGGGGGCCTGCTTCTCCCCCTTCCTCTGCTTCTCCCCCTACTCATATTCTCTCTCTCTCTCTATCTCTGTCTTGAATGAATAAATTAAAAAATCTTAAAAAATAAAAAAATAAAACCTAGTTTTCTTTAAGCCTTTAAGTGAAACTTATAAATTGTTATTTATAAATATGGTTGTATAAAAACAAAGCACCTTGTGCTCACTTCAGCAGCACATAGACTCAAATTAGAACCATACAGATACTAGCATGGCCGCAGTGCACGAATGACATGAAAATTCATGAGGTATTCCATAAAAACAGCAACAATAACAACAGCAAAAAACAACCAAGCACCTTAACTTTTTCTTTGATCAATTAACTCAGATTCAACAGACTCGATTCTAGTCAGCCCCAATTAACAAGCTTAGTCAGCAAACTTGGTTTGCTGAATTCCCTTAAACAGTTTAAATTGCATTTGTAAATTCAGTGTTTTCATTTTTAAGTATTTTAAATATAAGACCAGACAAATTTATAAATCTAATAAGCAAAATCTGCCCAAATATTTAAATAATTTTTTTAAGTAATTAAATTTATAGTGAGTCTAAATTCATTACACTTTCAGGTACTTATAAATATAACTAATTTTCTTATACCTCTCAACTTAAAGAATCACAAGTCTGAAATTATTAAATTTAAAGTATAAGTTTATTAATTTTAAAGTATAATTGTATGCTTAATTGCCCAGATTCTCAGTAGTATATTTATAATAATAATAGATTGTTCTCTAAGCACTTTACAATGTAAGTTCGTTTACTCCTCCGAGTAACTTTGTGAAGTAGGTAGTATTACTACTTACATTTTCCAGATGAAGTAACCTAGGCACAGATACTGAGTAACTTGGTAAAGAAATGGCAGAACCAGGTTACTAAACCGAGGCACTCACTCCAGTGTCAGTGCTCTTACTCATTACATAATTATATGCCAAATCCTCTCAAATATCACAAGTGCTTCAACTGATAAACAGATTAGTCCCAACATAATATGTTAGTGTCATGGATTTTATTTATTTCACCTACTTTTCATGGATTGGAAATTTATCCTTTTAAAGGAAGCAGATTTTATCTTCTCAAAGTCAGGCTACTATCTCAGACAAACCAAGTTGTCAACCTAAGTGAGTTGAGGTTATTGATGGGCAATGTTTTGACTCTTCAAGTCAGTTCTTATTTAGAGGTGTGAGACCAGGTTGTAGAACCTAAGGGCTGGAGACTTCCATTTGGATTTTACCTGCATCTTAGATTGATGGAATGAGCTGAGTATTTCCCTGGATTGGTGTCCCTTGAATTTACATAATTCACATTGTATCTTTTGGTCATTTCTATCTTCTGATTTGAATCCGCAACACCAAGTAACAGTATATTTCCTCATCTAGATTCTGTATTGCGTGGTTGAATTCTTTATTATTTTTATGTCCTCTGGATGGTTCATACTTTCTTTAAATACTTTAATATATACAGCTGGATTCTGCTTTCCTCTCATGATAATCACAAGTTGTATTGAATTTTATATTTGTTTTCGCATTCAGGGTGTTGGGAAATTTAAAATATTATATAGATAATATTTTAGTCCAGTCAGTCTTAACAAACATTTATTGAGCATCTATTTGTCAAATTACTAGGCCTAGGTATTGTGAGAGATGGAAGAGGAGTAAGGCAAGGTCTTTGTCAAGTATAGTTTTCATGGCAATGTTTGTTTGTTTTTTTTTAAGTGTAGCCCTAAGAAGCACTTGAGGTGTTTGTCAAAATTGCAGATTTCTTAGAATTATCCAGATCTATTGAATTGAATCGTTGGGGGAAATGGCTAAGAATCTTGAATTTTTAATAGCTTCCAGTGAAACTTTCTCTTCTTTCATATTTTTAGATTCTTATACCCACTAAAGTTTAGAAACCATTTCAGTACAGTGTAGTACATCAGAAAAGAAGTTCCTATAACTTACTGTAATACACAAAAAATGATATGGGACACTGGGCTTGTGATAATTGATTTGCATTGTCCTTTCTGACAGTAGTTGGGTAATAAGTTCAGTAGTTTCTTGAGGCCATCTAGTGTTTGTGAATAAAATTATGGAATATGATATTTATTTTTTTATTTGCTCTGACAAAAATTTTGTATACCTTATGTGGCAGATTTTTTTCTTAGTACTACTCTGGTGTTGATACTACTCACTCCTACTGATACTGAAGTGCTCTGGGGTTTTTTGAGTTAGTATAGTTTTTAATGGATACTTGTTCACTTAAAAGTGTAACACATGAAAAATTTTACTTGTTTGAGTATTTATTACAAATGTTATGAAGGCATAGAAGTTTGGTAACTTTTTTCTCTCTATGTTATTTTAGCTATTAACAGGCCAGATATCACAGACACAGAGATGGAAACCGTTATGGACACTATTGTTGACAGCCTCTTCTGCTTTTTTGTTACTCTGGGTAAGTTCTCAAATCTTTCTAGTTATTTCTTCAAAATATTTAATACTCCATTAGGAAAAATTTCAAATACACTTTTAAGTATAGAGATAAATGTAACTATTAAGGCACACTCCCAAGGTTCCAGAAAACACTAAATTTACGTATACCATTAATCCACTATATTCAGAATTTTAAACATTTCTTTGGTACATCTAAATTTACTTATAGCTACCTTGTGTTCAGTGTCTAATGTGTGATTTTATGCTTTACTATTACTAATTACTGTTTAGAAACCTTCTAATTGCAATTTTAATTTTGCAGACACTGAAAACCCTAGTTAAAATGACCCTTACACTAAATTATTAAAGTTTCTCTTCATTTCACAAATGAGAAAATTGAGGAAAAGAGAGATACCATGAATAGTTTAGGATATAAATAGAAGTTTGAGGAGAATTTACGTGTAAGCTTTGGGGCTCCCTCCTTTCAGATATTTTTCTCCTTTAATTTCCAGCCCTGAATGCCAGTCTTTGATTCCTTAGCTCATTAAGTCTTCTGTTTTCTGCTTGAGCTCTTTCTCCTTTGTGCCTTGCAAACTGAAAAGTACCCTCAGGAGAAAAGCTGGTTAAAAATGTATCTCGTTTTTCAAATACATCTCTTCTTTCAAAGTTTCATGCCCCTGCACTTTCTGCCTGCTTTCAAGTACCTTCAGTACCTTCAAATAAGGTTGTTGTTGTTGTTTTAAACAGAGCATATCGATACACAACTTTTAGTCTTTTAATTAACCTTCCTGTTTTGCCATCCTACACACACTCCAAAATTTCACTGAATGCTAGGTTTTTTGTGGACATTAAGGTTATTTTTCCTTGATGATATATTTTCAAGGTAAAGGTAGATTGAAGAAGTGTAAAAGACCACTGAAGGGGCGCCTGGGTGGCTCAGTTGTTAAGCGTCTGCCTTCGGCTCAGGTCATGATCCCAGGGTGCTGGGATCGAGCCCCACATTGGGCTCCCTGCTCGGCGGGAAGCCTCCTCCTCCCTCTCCCACTCCCCCTGCTTGTGTTCCCTCTCGCTGTGTCTCTCTCTGTCAAATAAATAAATAAAATCTTAAAAAAAAAAAAAAAAAGACCACTGAAGTGTTAGAGCAACCTTTATTGTATAGAGTATCAGAAAGTGATTTTTTCAAAAGAGAAATCGAAATTACTACCAATCTGACATAGAAGGATATCAACAAAAAATTAAGTGAAAAAGGCAAATTTAAGAACAGTATGTATAATATCCTATTTTTCTTTTTTGTACTCTTCATAAATGCATTTATTTAGACTACATGTAAAAAATAATCTGAAACCGTCCATATCTAATTCTTAATGGAGATTATTTTAGGGTGCTGGAATCAAAGGGTTAACTTTACACATTTCTAATATTCGAATTTTATATGACAAGCATGTATAACTTGCCATTGGAAGAAAACAGTTTTATAAAATTTGCTAATATTCTACAATTTTACTTTTGCAGTTGAGTGAACATGCTTTGTATAGAATCTAGAATGTACCAATTTTAGCGTACAAAGATCACAGTGTCCTCAGTTTGTTTTCTGAGATTTTCAGTGCAATTGGATTTTTTCTATCATTTTAGGATTTCAGCCTTTGATAAAACTTGGAGTAATAAAGAGAAATTAAGAGGTCTAATGAGCTGATTCAGTATTGAACTGAGGCCACGTTTTAGGAGCTTTTCAAAAAACATTAATGGAAGAATATGTTTTTTATCTTTTAAATTAATTTTTTAAAAAAGACTATAATCCTTCATTGTTAATTTGTAAAATCAAGAATAATAATACCAACTGCTGAATTAACTAATCTCTTTTCATTCTTTCCCATTAAGTCAAAGTCAAGTGACTCCTGTGAGTAAACTCTTTGAAAATGCCTGTAGGGAGTCAAATCCTGATTTAGTTTTAATTCATTGAAAAAATCTGGTCACACTGATTAGCCAACACCATATAAAAATGGTCTTTTTTTTTTTTTTAACTCCCTAATATTTTCTTTTTGAATGGAAAGGTCTATTTTTGAAACCTTGATTTTACTCTTGAGATAATAAATCCTCTTATGTTTCTAGCCTGAAATTTTATACTTCTCTTGTATGTTTAATGGTTAGGTATTTTACAGATATCCATTTTGATTATTAAGAGCTGAAACCATTGCTAACATCTGTTGTTAAAATAGGTGCTGTTCCTATAATCAGATGTTCAAGAGGAACAGCAGCGGAAATGGTAGCAGTGGTGAGTTCATACAGATATCCATTGATGACAAGTAATATTCTATCACTTGTTTTCCTTAAGTGCCTGAAGTGCTTTTGTTAATATTAAGTATGTGATTGCTATGAGTTATATATTAAGTACCAAAGGCAAATATTCTTATTTTACGGCATTGGGATTACACCAAAAAAAAAGTAAACATCGTATGCTGTTATGTGATGGAGAAAAATGATTTACTTCGACATGCTATTCCAGCTGTTTCTTTTTTACTAAAATGTATATTTGTCTTTCTGCCTTGTTTCTCCAAGTAACGCTTATTTGATCCCCCAGATCATTTTATATTTAACTTCATTTAGCAAATGTTTATTGACAATCATAACTATTTTTAAAATGCAGTGCATTTGCTATCCCATTATATTGGAGTAAAATATTCAGTATAAACTGGGCATTCAAAAATTTGCTTTAAAGATTAAAAAATAAGGGATTAGAGAAATTACAGAATTACTGAAAAGGAAAGGGTAAGTGGAAAGATGGAAGATACACTAACATTTTTTAGTTTTATTAGCCACAATGAATCATTGACTGATGGGAGGGCTGCTTTCTTTCACATATTCCATTTCTATTCTGGAGCCTCTTGCAGCCATCACTATATAGAGACATTCCTTGTAAAACAGAGTCATGATTGGGTAAGAGGGTGGCTTATTACTGCAGATCATTCCTGTACCCAAAGTAAAAATAGTCAGTGGAAAGTGGTTGTTAGTGAAATCAGGCCTGAGTCACAATAAAAAAGGCATTGGTCTTTTCAAGTCCAAGTTATGATGTTACTGAATAGTAAAGAAACTAAAATACTTAGATTTTAGAATTGCTATTTTGTAAAGAAGTTCCAGATTTCTAAGTTATGAAACTAAGAACACATTATGTTCTTAATGTTCATAATAACACATTTTATTATCCTATATAAAGTTCTGTGAAATTTTTAAGAGTTATTATCAAATTTGATTTTTCAGAAACTAGATAAGAAACTTCGAGAAAATCTAAGAGATGCAAGAAACAGTCTTTTTACAGGTGATACACTTGGAGCTGGCCAATTCAGGTATTATGTTTTTTATCAGGGTTTTGACTCAGTTTGTTCTTGAAATACAAATGGAATATTTAATTTACCTTCTGTTAGAAATTTCTGTTTTGGGGGCATCTCCGTGGCTCAGTCAGTTAGGTGTCCAACTCTTGATCTTAGCTCAGGTCTTTACCTCAGGATTGTGAGTTCAAGCCCCATGAAATTGTTTTGCATTTTTCTCATCTGTAGGAGAAATTTTTCTGTTTATATGGCTTTGAAGGTCAGAAGCCATTTTATTTCAGTTATCATTAAGCCTCTTGGTAATGACAAAAATAAGTGAAAAACTTGTGATGCTTATGTCTATTTCTACCTATCAACTAGTTACCATTTTTACATTGAAATACTTGTTTATTAAAAATAATGGACAATATTGGGGTGAAGAAGTAAAGAAACCCACACAAATGGCTGAGAATTATTTCAAAGGGAATAGACAGTATTTTGGAAAATTAATCCCTACCCCCAGTTTTAAGTGAATTAATAAAGCCTGTAAAAATAAATTGATAGTCAGTATAACTGACCTCCAGGGATGATAATTCTATGGTAACTTTCCATAGACTTCATTTCAAGTCAGTTTAGATGGCTCCTACTGCCTTATGTACTATTCCTATAATTTGGAGTTAACACTAACATTATGTTTCAGTTGTTTGTTCCAACTGTCTCAGCCCCCACATTATTTTAAACTCTTCTATGATTTCATTGCTGGTCTTAAATACTCTTCAGAATGCTTCTCATTAAGGAGAGCAGAAATATCAAATTCTCACCTGATTTTTTTTTTTCAAGATTTTATTTATTTTTTTGAGAGCGAGAGAGAGAGCGAGAGAAACAGCATGAGAGAGGAGGGGATTAGAAGGAGAAGCAGGCTCCCCACTGAGCAGGGAGCCCCTTGCAGGACTCGATCCCAGGACTCCGGGATCATGATCCGAGCCGAAGGCAGTCGCTTAACCAACTAAGCCACCCAGGCGCCCCGATTTTTTTCCCAACAGAAGCACCCACTGTAGCATCTCTTACTTAACAGTTCCCTTTCTATGGTGCTCTCATAAAAGCCTTAGAAACCCACATAAAGGCGCTGTTTTATTTAGATAATTTCTAAAAACTTATGTTATAATATAGTTGTCTTATTTTTAATTTGTTGGGTGCATTTCTAAATTATTTTAATTAGGGATCAGCAACTTTGTTGGACTATTGTTTTGGACATTTGAATCCAGTTGTAGGTTAATGATCCTCAATAAGAATTTGGTAATGCCTGAAGACATGTTTGGTTGTCACAATTGGATAGATGCGACTGGAATTTAGTGGGTTGCATTATAGGATGCTGCTAAACATCCTGTGATGCACAGGACAAGCCCCCATGATGAGGAATTATCCAGCCCCAAATCTCAGTAGTGCTGAATTAAGAAATTTTGCCATAGGCTATCTTTCTTTGCCTTTCACCTAGCTCTGGAGTAATAAATGATAGTAGGTGGTAAGGGTGCCACTCCTACTTATTTATTGCAGAGTTTTATAATCAGTGCAGTGCATTTTTAATCTGTGCAGTGTAATGAGTTACTAAAATGGTCAGAGTTCTCTTGCAGGACAAAATATGAATAGTTAATATAATCATATAACAGTATCTTTTGAAAATTGATGTATACCCTTGATACGGTATTGCCAAAGCAGACCTTTACAACTTTTGGAAACATATGGCAACAGATGACTTTGTGCCTCACTTTGCTTTAAGTATAGTCTATTTCACATCTAAGTTGTAATAGCACAGTAAACAACATATGAAGTGTTTGGTAAGTGAATAATTATATAATTAGGTACCATCGTGGCTTAATGTTTTAGTTTTATATATTGTAATGGGATATGGTTTCATGAGGCTCTTCTCTAGAGTCTGCTTTTTGAATTTGTGTTTACAGAAAAAAGTTGTAATTTGTAATTTATGAAACTCAAACATTTTTGTAAATTTTTAAGATCCTACTCTCTCTAATAGTTTTCTCTGAAACTGACAATAGCTATTCCTTTTTTTCCCCCAAAAATGTGAAATACAAATCTAAGTAGAAGCAACTTATTCTTACTTTGATAACTATAAATATTATTCTGTAAAAGTACTTGCATAGATTTTTTTCTTTAAGACAGTTCCTCAAGACTTATAATCTAGTTATAATCTAGCATTATACACAGACTCTGAGTAGTCCGAAGCAATTTATGGAATGTCGATATTAGCATACTTACTGTTCATGTCCAAATGAGAAAACCAGAAAGTATTAGAAAAATTGAGATGTAGAAACTGTTATTAAGAGTTACATAAGATTTTTTTAATATATTTACAGCTTCCAAAGGCCTTTATTAGTCCTTGTTGACAGAAACATAGATTTGGCGACTCCTTTACACCATACTTGGACATATCAAGCCTTGGTGCATGATGTACTGGTAAGAGGCTAAATATACCACGTTTTACTAAAATGTAGTAATACTCAATGGTCCTTTTAATTTAAAATTAACGTCATGACTACAGAGACACAGGTGAGAAGAATGAGCTGAGAAGTATGAACAAAAAAGTGATGGAATTTGGTATCACTGGATGTGGATGCTGGAGAATAGTGAAGCATTGAAGTGTAAAGTTCTAAACTTATCTTTAAAGTGTAAGATTATTTGTATTGTTGGCAGTGATGGGGAGAAAAGGAATGAAGGAAAATGAGTGAGTGCTTTTTTTTTTTGACACAGCACGAGTTGGGGTCGGTGGGTAAGGCACAGGGAGCGGGGAGAGAGACTCTTAAGCAGGCTCCATGCCCAGTGTGGAGCCTGATGCGGGCAGAGCTCAATCTTACAACCCTGAGATCATGACCTGAGCCCAAACCAAGAGTCGGACACTTAACCGACTGAGCCACCCAGGCACCCCTCCCTCAGTGAGTGACTTTAAAAAATTTTTCTAACAAAGTAGTTTTTTTTTTTTCCATAGTGAGGAAGTAAATAAATATGTTTCTCTCTGGGGAGGAAAGCTGTAATTTCTATTTTTCCTGGGAATCAGTTAAGCCTCATTTTATGGTAAATGTAAATAGCATTTTATATTGTACCGTATGTTTTTTGAGGTAATTCCACATATGTAAAATCATGCTTAAAACAAAAATCTGTGTTTATATTCATGCATATATTCATCTACTAAATATTGTGTATAGCATGTGATATACACAGATAAATGAAACAGGCCCAATCTTTAAAGTCAATGGGAAGAAAATATGTTCACAAATAAATTCTGTACAAGGCACTATGTAATAAAGCCAGACTAGTTCCCATTTGATAGAAAAATTTTAACACAGAAGTTAAATGATTTGAATCCAAATCATTGGCTCTGCCAAAACTAGCACTCTAATTTACTGACTTCTAGCCCAGGCCTCTAGGGATTATAGTATATAATGGTATCATTATTGCAAAGAGTGACTGAAATGTCATATGGAAAGGAAATGAAAAACATAATAGATCGTTTTTTGTTTGGTTTATTTCCTTAAAGCCCAGATTCTAGCTATAAGATATTTATTAAATAAATCAGATCTCAGAGTTATTGATGAAAATTGGCAGTTCTGTACCCTTCTGTATCCTAGAGTCCTGTGTCATTTTAGATTGTAAGGATGAGTGTCAATGAAATACTAGGCAACTCTGAGTCAATTGAGAGGGCAAGAAGAATCAGAGAGACTACTGAATTAAACCCTGAGTAATGGAACATGGAAGCTAGTTTTAGGAAGTCAGGTAAGAGGCTGAAGAAGAATTCAGCCACTACTGGAGGGTGTGCTGTCTGACAAAACATTTTAGATCCTGGTTCTAGCAATAAAGAAAGCAAATGAAAATATTCTTGTCTTCCTGGAACTTACATTATGATAGGACAGGCAAGAACTAAAATGAAATATATGACATTTTAGAAGATGGAAAATACTCTGGAGGAAAATAAAGCAGGTAATGGTGAACAGGATTGTAACTTGAAAATAGGAAAGACCTCACTGAAAAAGAGGCATTTAAGGAAGGATCTAAAGGAGGTAATAATAAGGTAGTGGATTACATAGCTACATGGAAGAGAACAGCTTTCTAGGCAGAAAAATGCCTAATATGTTTAAAGGATTGCAAGGCAGCCAAGGTGGCCAAAGTAAGGCAGGGGGAAAATAGCAGGAGGCAAAGTTAAATAGGATATGGGAAGCAGTATAGCATAAGACATTATAGGCCATTATAAGGATATTGACTTTCAGTTTGAGGGAAATGGGGAGCCAATGCACATTTGAGTAAAGGAGTGGCATCTGATACACATTTTAAGAGTACCACTCTAGCTGCAGTGCTGAAAATGGACTCCTTAAAGGGCATAGGAAGAGTCAAGAGACCAGTAGGAGGCTGTTGGAATTATCTTAGCAAGAGATGATGATGGCTTACAACAGGATGGAAATGGTGAGGGTTGTGATAATATATGGAATGCATAGCATAGGATTTGCTGATGAATTGGATGCAGATCCAAGAGAGGAGTCAAAGATGAGTCCAGAGTATTGGCCTTCGCAAATGGACAGATGTCATTTATTGAGATAGAGACATGGAAGGAGAAATTTTGAGGGAAAGATCAGATATTGAGTATTAGACATGTTAAATGTGAGATGCCTATTAAGATATTCAAGTAGATATTAAATAGATGTATGAGTCTAGAGCTCAGGAGAAACATCTGGTCTAGAGAAATAATTTAAGAGTAATCCATTTATAGATCGTATTTAAAGCCAAGAGATAAAATGAGACCACCAAAGGGATGAATATAAATAGAGAAGAGGGCCAAGAACTGAACTCTGAGGCATTTCAACATTTGGAATTCTGGGTGATGAATAGGAACCAACAATATAATGTAGAAAGAAGCAACCAGTAGTGAGATATGAGAAGTAGATCTGTGTTGTTTTGAAAACCAGTGAATTAACTGTTTTCAGAGAGGAGGCAGGAATTAACTTGGACAAATGTTGAGGACTAAGGAGTCACCAGTGCATGTGGCAACATGAAGGTTATTACTAACTTTGGTAAGAGCAACTTAGAAGGGTTTTTGCTGCATAGGACAGTTGAGAAAAGTGGTAATTGCTAGAAGGGAATGTGAGGTCAAAAAAGATTTTTAAATGTGAAACATTCCAGCATGTTTGTGTATCAGTGGGAATGATCGAAAGAGGAAAGTTGATGCAGGTCTGTAGGAGGCATTAATGATCAGGATCACTGTAGGCCAGAATTTCTCAACCTTGGCATTGACATTTTGGGCCCGATAATTTTTTTGTTGTGGAGGATTGTCTTTTGCATTTTGGAATGTTTAGCAGCGTCCCTGGCCTCTACCCTCTAGGTGCCAGTAGCACTTTCTCAGTTGTGACAACCAAAATGTCTTCCCACATTGCCAAATATACCCAGGCTGTGAAGAGGGGCAAAATTGCCTCTGAGTGAGAATTGCTGTTAATAGGCTGATGACAGGAGTTTCAAAGCTGGAGTTGTTTTAGAGAAGAAGACAAGTGAAGAGTCTGGGAGTAGCAAGGAAGGCAGGTATCTCAGTCTCGGGTCCATCCAGTTGGAGTTCAATTAGAGTGAGAAAGTACAGTGGAAGTTTAGAGTAGATGTTCAGAATAGGAGATTTTGCTATTGACTGAGTATGAGTTCTAGAGGTTAATGACAGAAAGGTTTTAGGAATTGGTTAAGATGAGAAGTGGAATCTGAAAGAGGTGGTATAGGGAGCCATAGAGAGATTGGCATGATGAGATAGTTTTCATAATCTCAAATTAGATTTGGTTGGTGGGGTCCTGACTTTAGGGTGGGAGCAAGGGGTCGTACAGATCAGGAGTCATCTCTTCACTCTTGGTTGTATGTGGAGGCTATGCAGAGCATTGAGATACTTCAATCTTTTTAATTCCTTTTCTAATGAAAGTATTTGATGCTTTGAGCACAGGAGACAAGATGTATATACAAGTAATTGCACCATGAAGGAATATGCTCTTATTCTGTATTGTTAGAAGAGAAAATTGGGAAACATAACTTAGGGCAGAGATTTCCCCAAACCAGACAAGGCTAATCCTGGTCCTTGAGGTTTTTACTGTTCCAGAGTGAAATGAGAATACCAAGGGCTATGAAATGAGTTTTTTTGATCGACCTTTTTGCTAATTTGTGGGTGCTTACCTTTTTTATTATCCTTGTATTTTTGTGAGATATATAATTTACTAATTTTTTTTTCCTATTCTTAGAAGTTAAAATAATCCTTTTAGAAATACAAGGCGGGGGCATCTGGGTGACTGAGTGGGTTAAGTGTCTAGCTCTTGGTTTTGGCTCAGGTCATGATCTCAGGGTTGTGAGGTCAAGCCCCGCGTCCGGCTCAGTGTTCAATACAGAGTTTGCTGCTCTCCTTCTCCCTCTGCCCCTCTCCTCATGCTCTCTTTCAAATAAATAAATAAATCTTTTGAATAAATCAAGAAATACATACATACATACAAACAAGTAAGCCAATTAAAAGTTGGCACCCGTGTGTCTTCAAAAGTTCAGTTCAACAAATACTTTTTAAGTGCCTACTCTGTACCAGACACTGCTAGTCTCTGGGATACATGGTGAACCAAGCAGATGTTATGCCTGATGCATGGAGGTTAGACTAGTGGGTTCCTGTGGACATTTGGGTTATTGTTGGTTTTAGTTTTTCTTATAAATAATAGAGCAATGCACATCTCTAACTTTCTTAGGTTAGGTTCTCAGATTCCATATTACCTTTAGGCAGTCTTTTCACGGCATTATTATCAGAATATTTAGGTCTTATGAAAATAGTCTCTTTAAAGAGATTGGTTAAGATAAACTACACAATTTGGGCGCCTGGGTGGCTCAGTTGGTTAAGCGACTGCCTTTGACTCAGGTCATGATCCCGGAGTACCGGGATCGAGTCCCACATCGGGCTCCCTGCTCGATGGGGAGTCTGCCTCTCCCTCTAACCCTACCCCCTCTTGCGCTCTCTCTCTCACTCTCTCTCTCTCTCAAATAAATAAATAAAATCTTTAAAAAAAAAAAAGATAAACTACACAATTTATATTTATTTATTCCTGCTCATTAATTTTATTTTTTAATTTAAAAAAATTTCTTCAATTTTAAAAAATATTTTAATTCCAGTAGAGTTAACATGCAGTGTTATAGTTTCAGGTGTACAATATAGTAATTCAACAGTTCTGTATATTACTCAGTGCTTATCAAGATAAGTGTACTTTTAATCCCCTTCACCTATTTAACCCATCCTCCCACCCACCTCAGCTCTGGTAACCGTCTCTTTGTTCTCTATAGTTAAGAGTCTCTTTTGGTTTGTCTCTTTTTTTCCCTTTGTTCGTTTGTTTTGTTTCTTGAATGGGTGAAATCATATAGTATTTGTCTTTCTCTGACTGACTTATTTTGCTTAGTATTATACTCTCTAGATC